AATTGTTTTCATAAATTTAAGTGTTAAAGGGTTAACGTCTAAATTAACAGACCTAGTTTAAAGTTGATGCTTTCAATCAAGATTTTTTCATGAAAGGGTTATGCTCAAGAACTAGGTTTCAGATCTCCATTAAACAGAGGTGTTGGGTAAAGAGCTGCTGTGAAACCTGTAGCTTGGTGAACACAGGTGTGTGTGGATGAGATGGGCTGTTTTGGTCAGACAGGTGTGTTAATGAGGAAGACTCTGGTGATGAAATTTTATTACACTTAATTAGGGCTGCAGCTATCGATTATTTTAGTAATCGAGTACTCTATCGATTAATCTGTCGATTAATCGAGTAATCGGATAAGAAATGTTTTGCTCTCACTGTAATACTTTGCATTGAATCACGTTTGCCTCAGAGCGGACTTAATGCATGGACCGGGTGTTTTCTTTTAAGGTGCTGCAGCATTGACGACGTGCTGTTGTGAAACGCCAACTCCGCCTTACAGTGAACGCACTGCACGGCGTTTTCTTTCCTTTTCAGTGTGTAATGGTCCCACACTTTAGACACTTTCTGCCGTTTCCTCTGTGTGTCATCTCTTTCTTCCTCTCTCTGTCTGTCCTCGTTTCCCTCCATGATTGAACCAAACGCGCCATAGACATAATAAAAGATAGACCCCGCATCGGCCGTTACCACGAATGGGCGCTGTCGAGAAATGCGGCCGCCATCTTGGTCCGGTCATCCGCCTCACTCTGCACCGCTGTTTAACCGGCGGAATGAAGTCTGAGCGCATTAATGAATCATAGTTCGCTCAATACTACGTAATTTTCTTCTCTGCAAACGCCATTCAAAGAGGCATGATAGAGGCCATATTTTTTTTTGGCGTTTTCAAATACTCAGAATGAATAAAATGATATTTTAGAACATGGCAGCAGTGGCTGTATTATAGTATAACAATTAATCAAGGATATATTTAGGTTTAGAGCTAGGTTCCTGCTATGTCTCAATAATTATTAATAACTGGCGGTATTAATAGGCCAATTCAATATATATTGATTTGATTATAATTTTTTATATAGTTTAATTTTATTTATCCATTTGTAGACACACACAAATAATGTCATATAGAAGCACTATTTTAATAACTGGAAAATACACACAAATATATAGCCTACATATCAAAAAGATTTAAACACAAGAACAGCATGACAGGACAGCATCTAAACTACATATCAATTTGCTTGTTGGCTACACAGCACAGAGGAATCACTTGCTGCGAATTTCTCCCTCTAACAGCAATCTCCCACTTCATCCTCAAGTTTTTGTCCTTAGGAAATCTTCAAAATGAAACAGGAGATCACCACAAAGAAATCTTTAATAAAACAGATAATAAAACAGAGCTCACTTTCTTCCTTTTTCTTTCTATTTTATTTCTTAACGTTTCTTAGAACCTCTCTCAAACAAAAGTTTTTCAATCTAATGCAAATCTGTTGATAATCGACCAAAGTTGCTATTATTGTGAATAAGCTAGCTGTTCGCAAATGCTGTTTCCTTTTTGGAGTTGACCGATAGTCTTCCTCTTTGGCCTACAAATGACTCTACAGTCAAGTGCAATGTTTAAAAAACGTTTAATCATAACTGTGAAAAGTTATTTCTTGAGCCCTGTTCTCTGCTGTCCGCCTGTTGGCACAGGAATACGCCGCACAGTGCTCCGGCATCGCTGAATGAATGAATATGATTGACCGGAGCGTATGGGAAGCTTGACCTGACCAAGATGGCGGCCGCATTTCTCGCTGCGCAGCGCCCCCAGCGGGGTCTACCCTTTTATTATGTCTATGAAACCATAGACATAATAAAAGGATAGACCCGTAGTATTGAGCGAACTATGATTCATTTAATGCGCTCAGACTTCATTCCGCTGGTTAAACAGCGGTGCAGAGTGAGGCGGATGACCGGACCAAGATGGCGGCCGCATTTCTCGACAGCGCCCATTCGTGGTAGCGGCCGATGCGGGGTCTATCTTTTATTATGTCTGTGTATGAAACGCGCGGCAGCGGAAGGAGCGGAAAGAGCACGCTGCTGCGCAACAGAAATAACCGTCCGTGTCAAACACCGTGCGCTGCACATGGTTCCGGATTTAAACGATTCCTCGAGGCATATAATTTGCCTCGAGGAATTTTATTAATCGAGTTACTCGAGTAATCGTTTCAGCCCTACACTTAATTCTAGGGATGCAATGGTACGTGGCAAAATATTGAACTGTTCGGTCCACTCTGCACGTGACAATACACCCTAATGGACTGCGGGTATTTTTGTTCTTTCATTTCGTACGGATGCTTTAACAGGCATCCGTCACTGTGTGTGTTCTTGTCCAGGCAGGTGCAAAGCCCTCCTCCAGCAAGGTACTGTTCAACCACATCTGTGCCTCCACGCTCTCAAAGGGCAGCCATAGTTGTCATGTCCACTTATCGCTTGCTTCTTCTGGCTTATTTTGAAAAGTCACTTTAAGATATTGGCAGTTGTAAGTTAGGTTTTTTTTTTTAGGCTTGTTCCAAAAGTGCAGTCGTTTTGGGCTTGTCCTGCTCCCAAACCCAGAAGAGACCTGAAACATGCGCCTATCAACCAGAGGTCCGTTTCACGTAGCAGGTTTAGTGGAAACTCCGAGTTTGTTAACCCTGAAATCAGGCAAACTCTGAGTTTTCCGTTTCACAAAGGAGGGTTAGTTAAACCAGGGAGAGAGGGGTAACTCTAACCTGTTTCACAAAGAGAGGTAACTCAACCTCGCGGTCAGTTACCACAGTAACAGACTCCGTGAACCTAACCTGCTCGGGAGCAGGTTTAACTCAGTAAACCCAGAGTTTCAGGTGAGACATCGGCATTTTCTCATTTTGATAATGTTTTACATTGTCAAGTAAGTATTAAGTGGCAGTTTGATCCCTTAAAAAATGCTCTTTTCACACTCAAAACTGAATTTTACTCTCTTATTATGTTCCGTTAAATGATTAGGAATATTAAACTAACACAAAAACGGGTGGTGGTCCAGCGGGGGGGTGGGGGGCAGAGGAGCTGCCCCCCACCCCCCCGTTCGACGATCGCGGCCGGTCCGATCGCAAATCCCCCCCCCCCCCACAGACACACACACACACACACACACACCAGTCCGACGATCGCTGCTACGGGGTGGGGGTTGCGATCGTCGAAGGGGGGGGCAGCTCCTCTGCCTCCGTTAAAGGTGGGGCTGCTGGACCACCACCCGTTTTTCTGGCATCTGCCCTCTTTCTGTTTGCTGAGTGAAAGTCTAATATTGAGTGTAGTGTGTGTTGGTTTAATATATGTACATATACATACTGAGAGTTAGTTTAATATTCCTAATCATTTAACGGAACATCATAAGAGAGTAAAATTCAATTTTGAGTGTGAAAAGAGCATTTTCTAAGGGATCAAACTGCCACTTAATACTTACTTGACAATGTAAAACATGATCAAAATGATTCAAGCAGTTTCCCTTCAACAGTCTGTCATTGTGATTGCACGAGACTAGATTTAAAGTTACGCATTGACGCGAGCAGCGATTTCCTCCCAAGCCCTCTCCCTCTCCTTTGCAGCTGCTGCACTTTCTTTTAAAAACATGCTGTAATTCGCTGTTGGCTTGCTGCTGCCCCCTCCTTCTCCCTGTTTCCATTGGTTGATCATTGAATCTGCGCTCCACAGATGCTGGCTGTTCATGTCTGGCGTGCACGTGCTTAACTCCAGGTCAAACTACTCGGAGTTGTTAAAACCGTCTCAAATCAGGTATTGTGAAACCGGAAACTCAGAGTTTCCTAACTCAGAGTAGATCAACTCAGAGTTAAGGATTTAACTCAGAGTTTGTTGAACCACCTACGTGAAACGGACCCCAGGTCTTACTCACCCAAAATACATAGTAATTGGTGCTTATGTTACTGAATACATGTGTGACAACACTGAGTGCAGCTCACACGCACACAGAAAAGGGAGAAAAGATAACCGAGAGGCATATCTAGCGCGAGTGGACGAGTCGAGAGACAAAAGTTTAAAGAAGCACCCGCCTTCTTCAAATCTCTGGTGTGGGTAAACTTTGGTTTTTTTAATTGAATACAATGACCTGAAATTTTACTGTCTGCAAACAATGCTTGATACGTGTATCTCATGAGCTACATGACCAAGCATCTCCAGCATAAGCATCCTGATATAATGCTTCCTGAACACAGGATGGTCGAAAGACTCTAAAAGGTATAAGCTAAAGGGTAAAACATACAGGATACGTATTGAACGCATAAAGTCAGTGTCACGTATCACGCAACAAATAGGTTGCCATTCTAATCAATGCAGCATCGCATACAGGACGCATCTCAGCTCTGTCACAGCTCCATGCATGTCATCCGGTATTTCATAATAAAACATATGTGAACTCCAGACTGTGTATCAGTCCGTGTAGATGAGAAATACTCACTGGTTATGGATTAATCAGTAACACAGAACAATCTGGTAGTCAACCCCTGATTTATGTGGACCCCAACAGGACTTTTAACTACTACCCCTGTTGAAAGTAACAGCACAGCATAAAGGAGCATAGTTTACTTTATTAAACACAGGTAAACCTGTAAAAAAACGAAACTGTAAAATCACATTGCTTTTTCACATATAGAAGAGGCTTAACAGTCACTGAATTATATCCAAATTAGCTGGAAATAGACCACAGAAAAGCAAAACAACTCGTTGTGAGCATGTTGTTTCCTCTACACTGAGCTCAACTGACTGCGACTGCACTACCCCGCTGCCCCGCTCCAATATGCATTATGTGTGCGATGAACAGCGCTGCTCGATGGAGCAGATGCTGAATGCAGATACTGATGGAATGTACTTGTGGCAAAATGGAGGGTTCAACAATTAAATTTTTGTGCCAAGCAACGCCACCTGGGGAGTTTCACCCCAGGAAATAAACCAAACCCTTACAATCTGAAGGTCACACAAATTCGTGACACCACAAAAATAGGGAGGACGAGAGACGGACTTCCAAAAAGATTAAAACAATTTTATTTATTTCAACTTTTGTTTTTAAAAGAGCACAAATATGAATAATAATCCTCGGAGTGCCAATAAACAATAAACACAGTAAACAAAAACGGGAACCAGGAGACTTGGTAGCAAACAGACTAAAGTAAAAAAGAAAAAAATTCAAAACCAAAGAAAACCACTGCAAACCAAGGAAAATTACTACAAACCAAAGAAAATCCTACAAACCAAACCACCACGTGCCACGGCAACTAAAGGGAGTGAAGGGGGAGGCCACCAACGGGGAAGTCTGTGGCCAGCTCCTGAAAAAGAAAGAAGAAAATCAATACTACAGTTGGTCACTCCAAAAAGCAATATGTAATACTGTTAAAAAATGGGTTAAATGACCCATTCTAAAAACACACACACACACACAAAAAGAAAAGAATAAACCTAACTTAATTGAGTAATGAACTAAATACCAAAACAAATACTCAACTAAACAAAATAAAAAGTTTCACTCGATAACCTATACGCTTAACAACCTAAATAAACCAAAGAAAATAAATAATTAAGCTCAGAAATAGGTAGTGTCGGGGGATAAACCAGTTCTTTGTATGGTATGTGACTCCAAAGAAGCAGCAGAGAAATGGAGCGGCCGCACATGGGCTGGAGGCCTAGGGAAGCCGTCCTTTAGGATGCCCAGCTGGCGACCAACGTAGTGGGCAGAAGTGGAGCCTCGCACGGAGCGCCGAGCAGTGGAGAGCCACAGAGGAGAGCCACAATCTATGGCTGCAGCAGCTACAAAGAAAGTAAGGCAGGTTACCATGCAGCAAATAAACAACTAAAAAAAACACAACCAAACAGCTAGCCTACCAGAGTGAAGTTAGCTTTATGCTCAGGCCAAACCAGTCACCGTCTTTTAGATGATGATGATGATAATGGAGAGCAAACACCACACTTAAAGCACCTCTTGTACATCCACGCCAGCAGCAGACCACGCTGTGAATGAAACATCACGGCTGCTGTCACACCAAGATACCCAATTAACACAGTCCAAGCATGAAAACTCATGCTTACCTTTATGTCCCACAAATGATCGAACCAACTGACCAGCGGATAGCAACACAGCCCGTCAGGTGAACATCGAGGAACAATGGGTTGAATGGGAGGACAGGACATATAAAGACCCCGCCCCGCAATCAGGCCAGGCACCGCTGAAAATTAGACGCAGCTGATGCCACTTAAGTGGAGGTGCAGCAGCAACCTGCCACACACTGAATATGGATCCTGTATGTTTTCATCTTAACATTTTGCTTTTTGCACAAAACGTACCGAAACCGAACCGAAACCGTGTGTGTGTGTGTGTGTGTGTGTGTGTGTGTGTGTGTGTGTGTGTGTAGAGCCATCTAACTCTAGATGATGGCTTTTAACTCTAAGGTGGTCTGTACACGAGTACGAATTTGTAAGACACCGGTAAAATAAACTATTGATCTGGTGATATTGACACACGGAGACGCGTATTTGTCCATGACTCCGTATCTTTTTTGAAAACGGGTCTGCAAGTGGATATCTGTGTATTCGTTTTCATGCCGTAGTTGGTGTAAATAGATAAGTCCGGTAAAGACGATGACCTCACAGCACCCCTCCTCCTCCCCGCCCCCCAACCCACGTTGTCACACACACAGTGCCAGGAGCGGCGTTCATAATTACCGCTGTTGTTTATGTACAGAACATAAGCATGGACAGGAAGAAAGTCCACCTTATATGCGCATGCGAATTCTCTGTTTTCGGTGCTTTGTGGCAATTTCACAGTGTCACCTTTAGGCCGGGCGTATGTACTACAGGATTTTGCGTGGATTTTGCATTGTCGTGTAAATGCACTAAGCCTATGTACAATACGATGTGTAAACAGCGATACACATTTTGGTGCCGACGCCAAGACAATACGGGGCCGTCCTCGTGTGAGGAGGGCCTAAAAAACAGCCAGCACTCAAAAAAGTAGCTGCCTGGCTGATCTGAAATGTTTACGACCATGAGCCTCCATCAACCCATCCTACCCTTGAAATCCCTCTACTTTCCAAATAGAGCCATACCCCGCAGTGGGATATTAGAGGGGATAAAGTTCTGGGGACTTTGTTGTGACACTGGAAACATATTGAGCCTAGGCTCTGGGTTAACATCCTGTGGCAAAAAATTATATATGTTTGCAGTGCTGTGGAGACAATCTAATAAGAGACATTTGCTCTGAGCCAGTGCTGATCGACATGGCAATATTTTGGCTGCCCACTCAAACTCAAGCCTAGCATGTACTAGATGACACTGGATTTTGACCCCAGTTGAAAATGAAGGATCACTTGAACCCTGATGAGCTTGCTTCACTTGATACTTGATGCCCCATTTGAGCTTTATTATGATAGGCAGCTTACGATCTCAATCACCTGTTTTTAACAAATGTCCATTAATACTGGAGCAAGAAGTTGACCAGGAAGAAGATTGTTTTTTTTTTTTTTTTTCTGTGTAGACCTCACAGTTACATGAACAAATTCAGCAGACCATACCATTTATTGACACTGCATAAACACTCAACAGTGCACTGCCATAATCAAAAATGCACTGCAGGATGTGTATCCCGGACAAGAAACAGAGTCACCATAGGTTAATTACACAGACCTAAAACACAAAGTTCCTCCCCGCCCTAAAGCAACACACGTCATATTTACTCCAGAACATTCTAATAATTTGCATAGACAGTTTATAATAGAGGTAGACAGCATCATAAGAGGATATTACAAACAAAGAATGTCACCCCAAGGTTTTAGTATCAGGATCAAAAACCTCTAAACAAGGACCTCAGGCTACGTACTAGCTTACCTGACCAAGATGTCAGGAGTGTAGTGGAGAGAGAAAAGCCACAAGTAGTATTCGAAGTCAGCTATAAGATCCTTAAATCAAGTCTTAATCAAATGGGCATAATGAGGTCACTGTTACTGGGTCCAGTTGAAGTCTAACAACAATTTTTGTACAATCTGGAGCCAATTTATAGATTCTGAATAGAGAGAAGAGAATGGGTCTGACCACCAGCTCATCAGCCTTGTATGGTTACCATCTTATCCTTAACTAAATAATTCGCCAACATCATGAAGTTGCATGACTGAATGAAAATTTGATATATCTCGTGTCTCTATTATCTTTGCAATGGTACAAAGGAATACGAAGGTCCATCCTCCCCCTTCAGTGTCATTGAAAGATAGCATTAAAATAAACACACAGGTAAAAAAAAGAACACCATCAACAGAACACCATATTCACATTCAATAAATATAAATATATTAAACTCTATTATTGCACTATTAGTCAGTTGGCTGCATTTAGAGCAGTTATGGCTCTTGCATGACAGTGGTTTCTCAGAAAGTTAGAAATATCAAAGATGCACACACTCATGCCTCAACGATACCAAAAAAATCTTTTTTCATTGAAGAACCTACCTCACAATTGGAATCGCAGCAGAGGTGATGGTACCTTAAATGAAGCACATATCATTACTTAGTTTAGCTTAGGCGGGAGTGGCAGTGTTTGACTTGTGTGATATTGAACAGAAACCAGGATCTATCCAACCTTCAATTAAGTGATAGCCTCAGTCAAACAAAACATTCAGGTTATCAGTCTTTATTCACAGCTAGGTTATTTTTTTGCCATATTTCATCTTACTTTTGTCTCATTCAACAAACTGTCATATAATTATAACAGCTTGTAAATACATGTTTATGGATAATAGAACAGCTGAAAAACAACATGTAGGGTAAATAAACTGCTTGTTACATTGGTTGAGGTAACTGCGTGTTTGCTGAGTAAACCAAAGATAATTTTGTGAACATTATCAGGTATAAATTAAATATGCAAATGTCACAGGTCAACCACACTGAAGATATTTAGACTGAGGGAGGGATCTATAGACCTGGTGTTGCTCCACCTTGACTGGCTGGATATAAAGGAGACATCCTCCAGGTTGGTTTTTCACAGAAGGTCAGTCCTCAGGGCCAACATGGGGACCATACAGCTACAATCAACATTAGGGCTCATCTATCTGACGCTGCTTCTCTGCTCTTTTACTCATACTGGTGAGTGACTCCTCAAAGTTTCCTCCAGCATCTTTATCTCCCCACGACATGTTTGAACATTAAACAAAGAGGAAGACTGGAAGCTGTTACTCCTTGGAGTGTGCTGTAAGAAACTAAACTTAATGTGGTTTCTCATCTTCCAGAAACTCTATGAGATGACCTGAGTAATCCACAAGGGTTTTGTTTTTTATTACTGAATGATTAATTACTTGTTCAGTCTGTTAAAAGTCCTTAAATGAAAAGTGCCCTTCACAACATCTTTGAAAAGTGTTTGTTGACTAACCTGAAGATTAAAAAACTCTTCACTAACTGTTGCAGCTCTAGAGATGCAGCAAACTCTCACAGCTGGAGTGATGGATCAAGCAAACATGACATGTTTCTGTCAGAAATTATTTCACCTTGATAAAATGACCACAACTTGTATGGCTGTGTTGTTTTAGGTAAAGCTCATATTGACCGTGTGTGCTCAACCTGGGGAAACTACAACTGGAAGACTTTCGATGGACAATTCTACAGACTGCCATCCTCCTGTAACCATGTCCTGGTCTCACAGTGCAAGGAATCCTTTGAGGGTTTTAACATCCAACTAAGACACACAGTCATTGACAACATTCCCACCATCGGCAAAATAATCATGAAACTGGATGGTGTTATTGTGAAGATGTGCAACAGCTCAGTGGATGTTGATGGCCAACCGTAAGTTCTAAAATTAGTCTCCTAAACGTTTTAATAGAAAAAGTCTGAAGTATATTCTTTTTTTTATTTTTTTTAAGACCTAACAGTAATCCACTATATATAAAAAATTGTAACAGTAGTTGAAATATGTGTAACGTTATCTAAACAACATTAATAGTTGTTATAAGAGTATGTTATCAGCAGCAACAGTGAGGCCACAGCACTAATCCAAGGGAACACATGGAACAGGGTAGCACCAGACTCCCAAGTGATTGAGAGAAAGAAATATGAATAATGAGATGTACACAGATGGAGAGAAACAGGGCCTTGCTGTATCATGTTCTTAAAGGGGTAGTATTATGCTTTTTCACATTCACAACAAAAGAAAGGAAGTTACATTTGTTTTGTTTTGGTGTCCATACTAGATGTACACAAATTTTCAAATCACAAGGTTAAAGTATATTGTCATAAACCTAGAAAACTGCTCAAGACAGTTTGTCGGGAAATCACATGATATCTCACTGAACCGTCGTTAAGTCTTACTAAACTAATGAGGTCATTGCAATAGGCTCTCCTTACTGGTTTATCTGTGCTTCCGGCACAGCCAAGCAGCGTGCAACCAGCAATGCATAAGGTGACATCCACAGTTAACGCCGCTTTACTGCACTACCCAATTGACACTACCTTCCTAGTTTCAGATGAACTGAGAACTCTCCAGCAAGTTTTTAGCCTTTTTACATTTTTTTAAAACTACTCCCTTTGAGATTTTTCACAGATTGAATTTATGGTATATATGTCTCTCACTGGACACAGCTGCTGTCATCTGTCTCACTTTTTGTTCTAACTCTGCGTGTCTCCCAGGGTGACTCTGCCATATACCAGATATGGCACAAGTATCAAAAGGACCACATCCGGTATCTTTGTTAACTCAAACATAGGAGTCAAGTTATTCTGGAACATGGATGACTCTCTGGATGTAAGAAGCACATTCTCACATTTCCACATGTGTTTTTTTTTCATCAGTCCAGTTATTGGAAGAACAAAATAACAAGTTTACATGACTGTGAGTTTAGTAAATAACCTCAGATCATAGAGCAAGATTTGTGACCAACCATAAGATCAACCATTGGATCTGATGGTGCAACTGCATAAGCCTGCTCTGGCAAATTCTTGCCCTGTATACAGAAATATATATTTTTTAAAAAGAACATGGTCCGAGGGCAAAATATATCCATGGACACAGATTTTCTTTTTATGCATGTGTTAGTTAGCATAAACCTCTAATAAATTAAAGGAAGGAAAAGAAATTTACATCCATATACATAATTCTGGCTATGCTTAAGTGGATGATTTGAGATTAAAACCAGTGTTAAGGTTTTATGTCATCTTATATCTTTCTTACATCATATCTTTTTGAATCAAATCCCCTGTATTAAACCATTAATTGATCCATAAAATTGATTCCTGATACACAGCCCTAGTCTGAAACCAAGAGTGTGAGTCGATAAAGATGGACAAAAAGATAATTGTTGAGTTGCATCTAGTGTCGAATAAAAAGGCTGACCGCAAACATCTTCACTTCATTACCTTATGACTTTATTTGTTGCACTCAAACATTTTGATTGATGAGCAGTCAATTAAAAATTTTGCTTAATTTTGGCCTCAAAAATTATAGCAGTGTTGTTTCTGATTATTATAGCCTCGTAGATAACAATGGTAATATCTGAACTCTGAAAAAGCCTAACAGATATTAAATGCAACAGCTGTTATGTTTTAACCGAAAAGTACAGGAAAGTCACATGAACTTTTGTGGGATATAGCCACACCAGTAGCATCAGTGTATGATCAACACCTGAGTGACCTTGAATTAGAGAGACCTCTTCCCCCTGGGAACCACAGTAACCATGTAGCCATTTCATCTGTCAGGTTGAGGCTTTCCCCATCAATCCTTAATATGTATCTGGGTGCAGATAATTTCAGAATAACAGAGGCTTTTCTATAGTCAGTTACTCAGCATCCCCAAAGGAGGCTAAGAGCATCTGATTTTCTAATAACTACTATTTTTGTGGGCTGTGTTAACAGATTGAAATTTCAGACGAATTCAAAAACCAAACTTGTGGACTCTGCGGAAACTTTGACGGCATAGCCAATGATTTCACTGACGACGGTAAGGTCCTGCTTGGTGAAATGAAGACATTACACACTGCACATTATACTGGCAGTGGTACACTCTAAAGTGCTTTTTACTTTTTCCTTTAAAATTATCACTGTTTGGCATTGAAAAGACTTTATTGTGAGGAAATTCAGTGTTTGTATCCTGGTGTTGACAAGAATACAATGCATATAGGTTGACAATCAGCACATAACATTAGAGTGTAAGATGCTGGCAGCCAAACCATACATAGAACAGTGTAACCAGGTAGCTGGCATAGTGTACAGGAACATATTTATTTATTTATTTATTTATTTTATTTCAAGAAACAGGTTGCTTCATAAACGTAGAAAGAACCATCACATTACCATTTCCATTTTCAATGACTTTTCAACTGTTTATTTTTATTATTTCAATTTTTAGGTCATTATCCTGAATTACTGAGTTTTTGTCTTAATACTTTATTAAGGCAAAACAACGCAACCACCATTTTTTTTTCTATCTAGCCTCAGCTGAAGTATCACTGAGCATATAACTTTGATTAACCCTGTGACTTCTGCAACTGGTTAGGAGCTTATCACAAGGGAAAAAACTGTCTTCAGTTTTAGCCTTTGAGCACAAAACTATAACAACCCAAACTTCCTGAAGCAAGTCACTATCTAAATATTCTTAGTAAAGGCTGACCTTCACCTGTCTGAAATCTAAAGGCTTAAAAATCTTGGACCTCCCACAATCAGTGAAAATGCTGCCACAAAGCTTTTGATATTAGGCCAAATAATCTTGAGATAACTGTGTGATTTGATTGTACTGTATCGTAGGGGCTATGGTTTCTGTGACAGACTTTGCTGAGATGTACAAGGTGAACAAGCCAGAAGAGCACTGTCAGGAGAATGAACCAACCAAAGACAATCCCTGTGGGGACATGGTACGCCTGCATTTTTATCATCATCACCATCATCATTAGTCACTTATTAGAGAGATCATTTGGATGTGACACAAAACATGTCCTTTTTCTGAGCTTTCAGCAGCAGAGACCAGACATGCAAAATGAAAATACTACTACTGCAACGACCATTAGGTCTACTTATTATTATTATTTTTTGTTGTTGTTGTTATTATTATTATTTTTGTTATTATTATTATTATTATTATTATTATTATTATATAACACAATGTCATTATATTCATTATCATTGTATAACAGCATTGGCTGTCTGATGAACAGTTCTTTTTTCATGCCAAACATAAACCATCAGTTTGCCATCTCATAGCTCTACTTTTTTTTCAAAAAAATAAATAAATAAAAATATAACAGTAAGATAAATAACAATAAATTGACCTAGCGTTGATACTGTAACTGTACTGATCTCAATTCCAAAGAAAAAAAAAACCTCACAGCAACAGTTAATCTTTAATTACAGTGATATACAGATTATCAGTACAGCAATTCAGGGGGTGGCAAATACTTATTGTGCACCCCCAGTATCACAGTCATTTGAAACACCTTTTGTCACATGATAAAAAAAAAAAACAACTCTTACATGGAATCTATATCAAATATCAAATTGGACATGGATGTCTACAAACTGTAACTGGGAGAAACATTACACTGAATAAAACAATCTTCAAAAGTGAACTCCCTATTCTGTATATTTTTGTTGACAAACTTCTCATATCACAAAACATTAAGGATGAATGGTAATATTCTGAAAATTGCTGTTATGAAAAAGGGTAACAGGTGTGGTAGAGTAAAAGAGAAAAAATTGACACAAATTTGAGTTTTCTCTTATAAATTAATTTTTATTACCAACATAACTCAATGATTTGCCTCACACCCCTGAATGTGTGTGCATTTTAGATTTCAAAATCAATGCAGATTATTGTCGACTTTAAAAGCTCAGAGCCCCTATACAGAATTTTTCACAACTCTTTGATTTGTTCTTCTTTTTCAGTATCATTGTATTGGGATCTTCTCAAAATCTGCATTCAGCGAGTGCCAAAACCTTTTGGATTTCGACGCCTTCGTTCATGTCTGTATGGTTGACAAGTGCCTCCCTGAAAATGAAACAGACTCCATGCTCTGTAAAACAGTCTCAGAGTTCTCCAGACAGTGTGTCCATGCAGGCGGCAACCCCCAAAGGTGGAGGACAGAGTTTTTTTGCCGTAAGGATGCTAACGCCTCAAGATAAAATATCTGCAGTCCTTATCTGCAGATGTTCCAGCTTATCAGCTCATTTTACAGCAACAGTAACATATTTGTCTCTACAGACAAGTCGTGTCCAGACAACATGGAGTTTATGGAGTGTGGCAGTTCATGTCCTGACACCTGCACCACTCCTCAGGCCAGCAAATTATGTGACATCCACTGCCATGATGGCTGCAGCTGCCCTGCTGGTATACACACACACGCACGCACGCACGCACGCACGCACGCACGCACGCACGCACGCACGCACGCACACACATAACCCCCTATGATGAAGATGATGATATCCCTTCTTATCTTCTCAGGAACGGTCTTAGATGACATTGATGACAATGGCTGTATTACAATGAGTATGTGTCCATGTGTACACAATGGGAAAGTCTACCAGGCTGGAGAGTCCTATTATCACAACTGCAGATCCTGGTAAGACTGGAGACCTTTGTTAAGTTGGCAAATACAGATTATTTCAAAATAAAACTAAGATTGAGAATGGGCCTCGATGGCAGCAAATTTGGTTTTATTCAATCCATCCCTTTCTTGAGCTTGGCTGTACCTTACCATTAAATCAAGCCTAAGCTTCCTAAAGAGCAATTTTTAATTAAGCACACACGTATATTGCAAAATGTACTTGGGGAAAATAAACCAATTGATGTCTTGGAAGTAAGTTTTATGCCAAGCATTCTGTCAAGAAAGAATGGTTTAATCCATGATTGATGTTTTGTGTGTGTGTTTGAATCCACAGTTTATGTTTGGATGGCCGTTGGAAGTGCTCAGAGGATGAAAACTGTGATGGATCCTGCTCTGTGACAGGAGGAGCTCATGTTAAAACCTTTGACGGAAAAGACTACGTCTTTCATGGAGACTGCACCTATGTTCTAATGGTAGTAAACGCCATCATATTTCATAACAGTAGTGTACAACTACATATCCACTGGAGTTATGGCACTGCTTGGAACAAACATGATAACGTGATGAAATCAACAGACAAAACTTTTTTTATTATTATAATTATTGTAGCAACCCAGTAATGTTCATTGGTAGCAATATAGTACCTAACTATGTATGTATGTTTGTATCTGCAGATATTCTGCACTCTTAGAATCAACCATATAACCACTAAAACAGCTTATTATATTGAACAAAAATAACAATTATGATAATAAGATAATAACACAAGCTTGGTAATAACCTGAGTGAAATATTCTCCTGCAGAGTGATGGGTTCCCATCTGTCTTCAGAATGATGCTTATGACAGGTTTAACTAGGGGGCATGTGGCATGAAATTGTGTTAGATCTATTTTGGACTAAATTATTTCAGTGTGTTAAAGAACTCATCAGTGTCTGTTGTCACAAGTTTTTTTTTTTTTGTGTGTGTGTGTGTGTGTGTTTTAGTCTCTGATGCATTTCTCTTTTCTATACTGTGTTGCAGAGTGGTGCTTCATTCACTGTACAGGTGGACCTGGAAAGGTGTGGTGGATCTCAAAGGCAGACTTGCCTCAGAGCTGTTGTAGTGGCCTTACACAGCAATACTATGGTAAGTTCTACATTAATGTGCGATTCATCAAGTAGTCATATTACACAGCCATGAATGGATCAATAATATTGCAAAAAAGTGTTATTTTGGATCGTAATCTGTCTGAAATAAGTGTTGCAATAAATGGCTTATCTAACTGTATAGAATATTTTCAGAGCCTATCAATATTTTGCAGCAAGCAAGGTTAGAGGTGTCTGCAAGATCTTTATGGAAATACTTTCGTATACGATCTTGATAAAAAAAATAATACATTTTCTTTCTTCTCAAAATGACAGGTGTTAAAAATCCATGCATCTGGACACATTCATATGAACCAGATTCGTTCTGAGCTTCCTCTCTCGAACAGTAAGTTACATAAAATTTCATTTTTAGGAGGCACAGAGCATGGGCTCTATTTCCGTGCCCGCCCGTGGTGTGGGGAGTGCGCTGAAAGCTCGCTGATTCAAACCTGGTTAAATATCCAGTTAATAGTCACACATGATGAAGTTAACAAGATATTAAATTCGTCTACCCCCCTTCAATCTCTCCCTCTTCCTCTTCTTTCTCACGCAGCCCGACTCAGACATGTCTCCATGTCCTCTCCCCACCCTGCTGCTGCTGCGTTGGCAAGGCTGACCAGATGATTTATTTTAGTGATCAGATGAGTTATTTACTTTGAAAATTTAAACAAAAAAATAAAAGAAACTTCCATTCAAAATTACCTGTTTATCTAATGTTCTCACATCCTAAAATTCTGTAAATATTCAATCCGCAGTTAGGCTCACATAAAAATATTATAATGTTCAGTTCAGAGCCAAGCTCATTTTATATGCCAACATCGGTGAAAGAAAGAGCCAGGCCATGGAGCGCGGTCATTCTTTTTGCACAGGTGGTTCAGATTTTAATGCCATTGTTGGAATTTTTTTATGTTGTGATCTGTGCACACAACCCACCTTTTTCATGTGGAGTGTAAATACATACAACTCGACGTGATTGTCTTTATTTGTGGAAAAGGTTGTTTGTCTTATCAGTGGGTACAAGCTGCGTCCTGTCGCCATCGTGTGGCATTGCTTTCTTCAGCCATCTCTTGATCTCTTCAACTACTTCACAAAAATTGTCATGCGCCTCGCTGGTGGTGGATTTAAAGGTGAGGAGAGGAGCTGGTGTGATTAGTGAAAACAGGACTCAGCTGTGTGAAACCCACTCCACGCCTTCTCCCCTCCCTGAAAATAGAGCCCCATGTCTTGGCTTAGAAGAACCATAAGTTACAACCTTCATCTATACACTTAAAAAGACTGCAAATAATTGCAGACGTAAATGCTTTTTAACAGGCACATATTTTGAATTGACAAATATAAAAGGTCCAAGTTGATTGGATAATATTTGATAACACACTTAAGAAATTGGAGCTCCAACTCAGGAGGAAGTAAAATAAGTCAGTATTTATTTATTTCTGACCAGTCTCATCAAAGTAAGTGAACTGCTCATCAGGAATCTGTTAAACTTTTGACAGAACTTCTCAAACAAAACAGTTGCTTTAAATGTAATTTTTTTATAACCAGTAAATGGTGAAACAGTGGGTGAAAAAATGAGCAACAATAATAGTAATAGTAAGAACATCAAGGTGCACTGACAACATCCAGAATAGAGCTTTGATTCCTCCCTGTGGGCCTTGTCTTGTATGTCCTCTTTCTGTCAATAAAGGCCCAAAAATACCATAATAAATTAAAACAAAAAACAAAACAACAACAAAAACTACAGAACATCAATGTGTTGTAAATGGGCAAATATGACATAGAAGTCTGCAAGTGCCTATGATTAGTCAGACAGACCAGAAAACACTATTCAATTTCAGTTACCATTTTAAAGAGATCACCCCTTTTATCAACAACCAATTAAAATTAGCGAGTTCTTACTTTGTAAATGTCACCAGGAAAGCTTCCCCCATGGGGATCCAGATTTGCAGCTCTGGCCTGACGACTTGAAGGGCTCTATTTTCGTGCCTTGCCGGAGGTGTGGCACAGGCACAGTGTAAGTCAGGTCCGCCGTGCCGACAAGGCGTGCCCAAGCACACTTTGGTATTCTGGTGAGCGGCCCAGTCCGGCATAAGTATCCCCCCTCCCTAACTCAGCTCCTCCCAGCGGCGTAAGTCGTACGAGAGGGAGGAGAGAGGGCGTGGAGTGGATTTAACACAGCCAAGACCTGTTTTCACCAATCATATAAGCTCTTCTCCTCACCTTTAAATCCGCCACCGGCGAGGCGTATTACAATTTTCGTGAAATAGTCAAAGAGATCAAGAGATGTCTGAAGACAGTAATGGCACACGATGGCGACAGAAGGCAGCCCCTCAACAAGTGTCGCTGTAAGCGCTGCAGAGGGCGTCCTCCACACTGTCTCATTTAAGCACAGATGGATTGGATCCGCTGGTAAGACAAACGCCCTTTTCCACAAATAAAGACAATCACATAAAGTTGCACATATTTAAACCCCATGTGACAAAGGTGGGTTGTGGGCACAGATCACAACATAAATTCCAATTATGGCATTAAAATCGGAACCATCTGTGCATAAAAGACGCATCGCGCTCCGTGGCCTGGCTCTTTCTTTCATAGATGATGGCATACAGAATAAATTTGGCTTACGCAACTGAATATTATAGCATTCATATGGAGGCTGAAAGTAAATAACTCATCTGATCACTGAAACAAATCATCTGTTCAGCCGCTGCAGCAGCAGTAGCAGGACGGGGAGAGGACACAGAGACATGTCCAGGTCGAGCTGCATGAGAAATAAGAGAGGAGAAAGATAGAAATAGGTAGGGAGACAAATTAAATATCTTGTTTACTTCATCATGTGTGTCTATTTACTAGATATTTAATTTAATTTACGGCGATTTCAGCTGTGTTAATTTGGACAGGCTGAGTGTCTCAACGTGTGCCAAATGCACTCATCAGATCAGATATAGATTAGAATGTATCTACAGATCTAAACGTATTTGCTGACTCCGAATACTGGTCGTCATTGATTATTTATTGCACTGAAATGTGCCCGACACTGTGGAAACCTGCCAGTGAGGCATCAGTGACGTATGCACATTACGCCACTGGTCTGCCAAAATACCACTAGACCAGCTGCGCTTCGCCTGCACTGAAAGCTGACCAGGTTTCAGCACACTTTTTACGACGCCGGCGAGCACGAAAGTGTCACTGCGCCAGCTGAGTCTGTCGACACCTCCTACCCTACCATGCCCAGCCTGGCGGACCTCAGTGCGCCTCAGTCTACAAAAATACTTTACTGCCTGTGAACCGGGCTCCGCCAGAAGAAAATACCACCCCGCGGGGCACGTCAACCTCCGCCGCGGCGCCGGCAGGCACAAAAATAGTGCTCATTGTCTCATCCTCAAATGGACACTGATGATGCTGAATGGTCTTGAAGTATATCAGATAGTATAGCAATGTGAGCAATAATAATCTCATTTATGTACTTACATACAGTGAAGAACTGATTGTAGATAAAATATCTGTGTAATTAAAACACACTATCTTAATATAGATAGTGTGTTTTAATAGATAGTATAAAATGTGCAAATGTTTCAAGTACTATTTCATCTACTTAGATTTGTATTTGGAAAACAAACATCCAGTCCTTATTGTAAGCTCAGAAAATGACCAATCATAAAAAGGAATGATGTAGTTTAATTGATCACTTGTTGTGATTGGTCAGTCGGGGTCTTTTGTAATATCACTGCATGTTTGATCAGAGGATGGTGTTTGATTAGGAATGCACAAAGGTGACCTGGGTTTGCCCACAGATTATGATCCCCGTGATAGAATAGGGAAATAGCACATTGAAAATGAGAGTTACTGAAGTCTAACAGTAATGAGATTATTTTAAGTTACAAAACTGTGCCATTAAGCTCTTCAAATCTTTTGACTGCTGCAGCTGAGCTCAACGTATTCAAGCAGTCATCCATCTTCATCTTTGTGAAGCTCAAGATTGGCATCAACATTGCAGTTCAGCTGACCCCCAAGATGCAGGTCTTCGTCATTGCAGACTCATCACTTAGAGGAAAAATTGTTGGTATGTGTCTAAAAACATGGACTCCATATTTAACCTGTAGCTTAATCTTGGGTTAGCCAACATTTCAGAATACAAGCTAAAAAGAAATCTTGTTTCAACAGGTTTGTGTGGTGACTTCAACAAAAAAATGAATGATGACTTCAAGACTCCTGCTACTCTGGTGGAGAGCACTGCTACAGCATTTGTAAACTATTTCAAAACCAGAAGCAGCTGCCCTGATGTAACCACACGCTTAGGACATCCCTGTGACCAGGGCATCAACCGCGGTACAACTTAACTTCTCATATCTTTTTCCACCCGAACATACTGTATCTATTAGTGCATTTAAAGACAATCCACTGGACCATAACAAACCACCATGTGTTTTTGTTTTGTAACCATGAATTTCTGTTTTTATTCAGGACATTTTGCACGGTACTGGTGCTCCAAACTATTGGATCCAAAAGGACCATTTTCAGTATGCCACCACTTTGTTGACCCACATCCATACAAAGAAGTGAGTCTATGCTAACAAGGCTGTGATGACAAATATACTTGACAACTGTTTTCTTGCTAATGCTTGTTGTGCCTTTCACAGAACTGCATGTATGATAGCTGCAACAGTGATAACAGTGAAGAGGGCATGTGTGCTGCTGTCTCAGCATATGTCTTTGACTGCGCAGAACGAGGAATCCTAGCTATTGGCTGGCGCGCACATATCTGTGGTGAGCAAAACAACAAGGACTTCTTGTATTCAATGTTGTGTTGTAAAGGGTGTCTGTAAAAAGCAGCTAATCACATATGACAAGACAGAGATCAAGGACAGCATATTCAATGAGTGATACCCCTAACTTTCTCACACCTCCTCTACAAGGTCAATACAGCTTATGTCCAGAAAAAACAGTCTATCATTACAACATGACCAGCTGCCAGCGTACCTGCCGATCCCTCAGCCAACCTGACTACTCCTGCCAGGCCAGCTTCACTACAGTGGACGGCTGTGGCTGTGCTGCAGGAACCTACATGAATGAGAAGGGGGAATGTGTGACCAGTGATGAATGTCCTTGCTATTACGATGACGACAGTATTCCTGCTGGACAATCTGTGTCAATAAAAGGCCACACTTGGTAAATACGAAGTGCTGTGATCTCAAGGGTTGAGCATGAAGGGTAACAAACACACAACAGTGGTTAACCTATTGCACTTCAAGTAAACAGAGATCATTTCAGATTCTCTGATAGTAAAACTTCATGTGGTGCAATCTCAGCTCTCTTAAGGATAATGAACCAGACTACTAAAACAGGGAATCTGTGGGGTCTTGAAAGTGTGAACAGTCAGGAAATCAATTCAGTGGAATTTCAGGCCTTTAAAAGTATTTAAAAGTCTTTATCACCTTCTTGCAAGGCATCAACTTATTTATTTGATGTGAGTTAAATATCTGTCAAGTATTTGTACACAAAACACTTGAATTTTAACATTTTGTTTGTGAACAAAGGGTTATACAACAAAACTAGTCACATCCAGCACAAACTAATACAGAACTCTTTGAATATTCTATTTCTTCTGCTGAAAAACAAAGCACAGTGCTGAATGATGAAATTGACACTGTTTTTGTACGCCTCTGTACCTGTTTTCACAGTTTCTGCAGACATGGAGCTCTCAGCTGTGCAAATTTCCCAGAAGGTAGGTTCAAAAACCTAAATCTTCATTCTTACTACTGTGGGCTTCTGTATGCTGTTGTGCTTTTACACATTTAGAATAGAATAGAATAGAATAGAATATTTCTTTATTGATCCCGCATGGTAGAAATTTTTTTGTCACAGCAGCATCACAGACAAAGAGTGCAAAAATGCAGTTATAAAAATAAAGATCTTAATATTAAGAACTTGAATAAATGTTATAATTAAGAAAAAAATAGAAAAGGAAAAAGGGAGAAGAAAAATAAAACTATCTACAATGTACACAATTTAAATGCCAGGAAAAAGTGGTGGTGTAAATCCAGTTATTATTACAGTTCGTTGTAAAGTCTTATTGCAGAGGGGAGGAATGACCTGCGGTAGCGCTCCGTCTTGCAAGGTGGGAGTCTTAGTCTGCTGCTGAAGGAGCTGCTTAAAGCCTCCACAGTCTGGTGCAGTGGGTGAGAGGGATTGTCCATGATGGATACAAGCTTTGTTAACATCCTCCTTTCACCCACCTCCTCCAGGGAGTCCAAAGAACAGTCCAGGACAGAACTGGTCCTCCTGATAAGTCTATTCAGTCTCTTCCTGTCCCTCTCGGTGCTCCCTGCCCCCCAGCAGACCACTGCATAGAAAAGTGCAGATGCTACCACAGAGTCATAGAAAGTCCTGAGCAGAATCCTGCACACCCCAAAAGACCTCAGTCTCCTCAGCAGGTGGAGACGACTTTGGCCCTTCTTGTACAGGATGTCTGTGTTGGTTGACCAGTCCAGTTTATTGTTGAGGTGGACACCCAGGAATCTGTAGGACTCCACCATCTCGATGTCCAGACCCTGTATGTTCACTGGAACTGTTTGAGGTGTCCCCCTCCTGCGGAAATCCACAACCATCTCCTTTGTCTTACTGGCGTTGAGCTGGAGGTGGTTTGTGCCACACCAGTTGACAAAGTCAGTGATGACAGTCCTGTATTCCCGCTCATCCCCTGACGATACACATCCAACGATGGCTGTGTCATCAGAGAACTTCTGGAGGTGACAGCTCCCAGAGTTGTAGCTGAAGTCTGAGGTGTACAGGGTGAAGAGGAAGGGGGAGAGCACTGTCCCCTGTGGAGCCCCCGTGCTGCAGACCACCATGTCCGATAGACAGTTCTGAAGCCACACAAACTGTGGTCTGTCGGTGAGGTAGTCCATGGTCCATGCGGCTAGGTGACAGTCCACTCCCGCCCTCTCGAGCTTCCCCCTGAGCAGTGAAGCCTGGATGGTGTTGAAAGCACTGGAGAAGTCAAAAAACATGACCCTCACAGTGCTGCTGGTGTTCTCCAAGTTGAGCCATGGACCTCTGCAGCAGGTAGATGACTGCGTCGTCCACCCGTATGTTCGGCTGGTACGCAAACTGCAGAGGATCCACATGAGAGCTCACCAGGGGGCCGAGGTTCCTCAGCACGATCCTCTCCAGAGTCTTCATCAGGTGAGAAGTGAGGGCCACAGGTCTGAAGTGGTTGGGCTCCCTGGGGTGTGCTGTCTTGGGGACAGGAATCACGCAGGAAGTCTTCCACAGTGTTGGGATCCTCTCCAGACTCAGGCTCAAGCTGAAGATGTGCAGTAGCACCTCACAGAGCTGGTCTGCACAGTCCTTCAGGAGTCTGGAGCTGATGCCATCAGGACCCGTGGCTTTCCTTGGCTTCATCTTCCTCAGCTCACTTCTCACCTGGTCAGCTGTTATGGAGAGACTGGGGGTGGTGCTGGGGGGGGGTGGTGGAGGATGAGTGGAGGGGGGTTAATGATGCCGGTGCCATGGGACTGAGGTGGTGTGAAGAAGAAGCAGCAGACAGGTCGTTGGTTTGATGAGTTGGGGGAGGAGTGGGAGCAGAGTCAAATCTATTGAAGAACAGATTCAGCTCGTTGGCCCACTCCCTGTCTCCTGCTTCAGGTCCCCTCTTGTGGCCCCTGCTATGACCTGAGATGGATTTCAGGCCTCTCCAGACCTCTCTTGTGTTGTTCTGTTGCAGAAGGTTTTCCATCTTGGTCTTGTAGCTGGCTTTCCCCTCTCTGACCCTCTTCTTCAGCTTCTTCTGCACCCTCCTCAGCTCCTCCTTGTCCCCAGATTTAAAGACCCTACTCTTCTCCTTCAGGAGGACTTTAAGTTCCGGGGTCACCCAAGGTTTGCTGTTGAAGAAACACCGTACTTTCCTGGTGGGTACGGTGTTCTCAACACAGAAGTTTATATAGTCTGTGATACAGTCTGTCATGGTGTCGATGTCATCACCATGTGGGCCGCACAGTACATCCCAGTCTGTGGTCTCAAAACAGTCCTGCAGCACCTCAGTAGCCTCCTCAGACCACCTCTTAACATACCTGATGGTGGGGGGTTGTTTCTTCACCATAGGTATGTAGATGGGCTGCAGTCTTGTGATCTGAGCGGCCCAGCGGAGGGAAGGGGGGAGGAGGTGTATGCATCCTTGGGGTTTGCATACAGTAAGTCCAAAGTTTTATTGTCTCTTGTTGGGCAGTTTACATACTGGCTGAAGGCAGGGAGAGTGGAGGAGAGCGATGCATAATTTAAGTCTCCAGAGATGATGATCAGAGACTGAGGGTGTGATGTTTGTAGCTTGGACACTTCACCATGGAGGAATTCACAGGCTGCAGCAGCATCAGCCGAGGGGGGGATGTAAACAGTTAACGCGATGACGTGCGAAAACTCCCTCGGCAGGTAATATGGCCGCAAACTCACAGCCAGCAGCTTAATGTCCTTAGAGCAGCGCTGCTCTTTAGCACTGACGTGCCCAGCATTACACCATCTCTCATTCACATACACCGCTATCCCGCCTCCTTTCTTCTTACCACTCTCCCTCACGCTCCGGTCCGCTCTGACGAGGTGAAATCCGTCCAAAGTTACGAGCGGGTCTGGAGTGAGTTCGTTCAGCCATGACTCCGTGAACATCATGAGGCTGCACTCCCGGTACTCCCACTGCAGCCTAGTCAGCGCTGTGAGCTCTTCCATTTTGTTGGGAAGAGACCTCACGTTTCCCATGATGATGGACGGGACAGTTGGTTTGTAACGTCTCGGCTTTGCCGGATGCTGAACTCCAGCTCTGCATCCTCTCCTTCTCCTGCGGAGCTTGGCGGGGATGTCCGGTCTGTCCAACGAGGGTGGCCGGGCTTGGCGCAGCGCCAACAGCTGTTCACAGCTGTAAACAATGGGGCTGCTGAACGGGTCGCCGGTCGCGGACTTAAAAACTCCAAAAAGTAAAAGAAAACAAAGTGCTAGAGTCATGAAATGCAAATCCATGGTTGGAATATGCAAAAAACAACAATAAGAAGGCAAAAATGTAAAGTCTGTGAGGAGCTGCTGTGACTTGCTGCCACTCTCAGGGCGCTCGAGTCAACCAACCAATTTATAAGTGATGCAATAAATCCTTGTCAAATTCTACTGAATTTGCCCACAATCCATCAGTTTAATACAAAGGTCTGTTCAGTGTCGACAAGTACTCTAGATTCTGTGGTCCTGACTTAATATTAATTGTAATCACAGCAGACTTAGTGGACATGTTGTTGAGGTAAACCAACTCTCAGCAGGCAGTGAAAACCTGCACTGACTGTGCAGGGTGGTGAGTGCAAGAGTTTGGATTTTACATTCTTGCAATGAAGTTGAACTCTGGACCAATTTGCTTCAAATAAATGCATCGTGGCAGGCAACTGCAAAGAGACATTTTGTTCTGCAAAGCTGTTTGGGTCACATTTTGCAAATCAGACACTGCCTTTTAAGGAATACGAAGAGGTCAAAAAGCCAGCAGTTCTCTTAGAACCAAGCCCTCAGAGCAAAATATAACATTGGACAAATTAGAGGAAATTAAACGCATACAGCAGACAGAAATCAACAATACTGGTGGGAAAAAAAATTAGAGCATTAATGTGTAAAAAAGGCTAATATGGTCTGATCTGTCATTACTGTATGCTCACATTAAGCAGCAGCTCACATTCACTGAATTAATGTTCTCCCTTGTGTGTAAACCTTGAAGATGTATAATCTCAGCTGCAGCAGTACTAGCAATGTACTGAACAGAAAAGACCTAAAGATGTAGAATGATATTCAAAGTGGTGAAACACCTAAAAGGCAGTGGTGCTTCTCTCAGTCTGTTGCATCATGAATATACTGTATTTTGATATGTCACTTGTGAAAATTACAGTGAAAGACAACATATTCCATCATAACCTTCTCCAGGGCAGGTAAAATAAATAAATAAATAAATAAATGGAATAGAGCAAAAAACTGCAACCTTTTTTGTGTTGTAGAAGAAATGTGGAAAATTTCATCAAGAGGTGATAGTTTTGAAGAAAAGAAAAGTTGATCCATTGAGAAAAAATAAGTATTTGGCAGCAGGTGATGTTTGTTGCAAAGTAGAAAAAAAACACAAAGAAAGATCATATACACTGTATGTAGAGAAGTACAACTATATTGTACAGATGAAAGAAATGTGTATTGCACAAAGTAAATTGTTTTTTTGTTGCGTGATTAGCTGAGAGTGCTTCAGGGACCTTAACCAACAAGAGTTAACTAACACTGTAGGACCAAAAACCCAGAATTGACCCTCCTGCTTTGTCGCACCTGCCTTTGGAGTTTTAACATAACTTAGTTCTATCAACTAAGTGTGCTTTACTATCCAGGCCCACCAAAATGCACCTCCCCCATGGTTTACTTCGACTGCACCCAAGCACAACCTGGGGAGGCTGGAACTGAGTGTGCGAAGAGCTGCGGCACTCTGGACATGGCTTGTGTAAGCAGCACATCGCACTCTTACAATCAGAGAAGATTTACAAGTACAAGAATTGTTTGTCTGAAACTGCCTTTTTGTCTTCTACTCTGCTTGAATACAGGTCAGCTCAGGCTGTACATCCGGCTGCATGTGCCCCAAAGGCCTGGTGTCAGATGGAGCAAGAGGCTGCATCAAAGAGAGCAATTGTCCATGTGTGCACAATGGACAAGCTTACCATGCTGGAGAAACACTGACTGTGGACTGCAATACCTGGTTTGTACAACGCCCTACATAAACACCATTATAACGTCAATAACTAGGAAATTTCCTCTGGGAAATTTTGAAAGGGCCATGAGGGCTTCTGCAGGGGTGTGTACATTATAATGAGATTCTTTAGAGATTCAAATTATTAATGCAAGTAGCATTTTGATAATATATACAAGGAGCACACCTCCAGCAAACATTTCTTATCAAGTATTTATTCATACAAACAAAAAACAGAGGCGTAGCAGTAGATGTTTGAAAAACCCAAATAATTGCTCTTACGTTGCGTAGAGTTGATAGTATAGAAAAATTACCACACCAATCCTGATCAAACTGCACATTTTGATACATATTTTGTCCTAAAACTCTTCAAAGTGTAGGACAAGTAGCAAATCAAAATTTGTTTAAAAGAGGAATAAGAAAAATCTACAGGATTACACATATATAGTACAGGGGCCAGTGCCTTGGGGCTTTGCCCTGTGGCCCTAATAATGATAATTGATAAGATTAATATAAAATCTGCTGCCAATTAGACCTGCTTGTTTTATTTTAATTTTGTCCCTCAGAGTATCTGTCAACATGAAACACTCGAAAATAGTTGGCTAAAAGACACATTTTTGATTGGTGCTTTGTCACTACATTGAGACTATAATTAAATGTTATAGCACATCAGAATTTTTTTTAGGTAATAACAATGCCAAAATCTGGGTGATGTAGATAGTTGCATGGGTCTCACCAATTTCTAATTTATTTATTTTTTCCAAAGCTTATTGAAATATTTCCATCGTTTTTGTGCACTTTGTGCACTCATTCAGTGTTGTTTGTCATTTAAAAACTTTGTTCTAAAAATAATGAGGTATTTTTAAAATATTTTTTTTTACCATGATGACAAACGTGTTCATTCTGTTCCAAAGGTAGTTAACAAGATGGTGCAGATAATCTTGTAGTAAAATGCATGAACAGGTCTTCCATTGATGTAAAAATGATTTCAGCAATATAAAAAGGTTGTCTTTTTTGTAACAAAAAATATATATATGCTCATAGGTGCTGTCTTTATGTTTACAATAAATTATGTAGGCCTCTGGAAATAAACTGGCTTAGCTGTTGTTACCCCCACTTAAGTGAACACTAGTTACTTAGCTTTACTCAGATTACAATGAACAGTCCTTAGATGGCCTAACTGTGCATCCTTGTTAGTGGAACATTTTCTCTGATAGTATAGAAAAACAAGGCCTTGTTACTGTCAGTCAGTGACATTTTTTTCCCATTCAATACCATTGTCAATTTCTCAGTTGATTCTCTGTTGTATGGTGTTTGTGTCTTAAACCTCTTCTGCCCTACCTCAGTTATTCTCCTCTCCCTGCTTTTTCCATTTACAAACCAGTGTCAAGCTAACTAAACAACTTAATTTGCACTGATTTGATTATGGTAAGTCCACCCCTATTTCTTTTTATAACAACAGGCTGATATAAAGATATAGAAAACCTTTGCTTTGGCCCTATCAGAATCAAGAGGCAGTCATATAACAATATAAGTTAAATTCCAGTGTTTTGACAGTGACCACTGGATCAAATAAGTTTGATTCTAATGCTGATTTGGAGTTTGGGTGACAACCAAACAAAAATTACTCAGCTCCCTTTATCAAACACTGAGATATGTGAGTTGTTGCACAGAAAGAATCAGGAAACATCTTCGGTGCACCTTTCTTTATTAGAGCCCCTTGGTGATGCAAGCTATTCTCTGCTTGGTAAAAAAAAAAGTAACTTACTCTGTACCAGTGTCTTGCAGGACCAGGATGTAGGTTAACAACCTTCTAATACAGGTGGTCACACAGGTGCCATCATCATTTGTAGAACAACCAGATGTAAAGACAGTTAGACAGCTTGTTTTCTTAGCTCGGCGTGAAAATAAGCTTATGCTGCTCTCTCAACTTTTCCCTGAAAAAAACTGTCCTTGATATCCAAGACCATAAAGGTCGGCCTGCTAATGGCAATGAAACTCAGTTAATCAAAGAATTTCAGTTAATCACATTCAAGTACTTTTCTCTTTTTTTTTTTTTTTTTTGGTCTTTGTTTGGATCATTTCTTTCTCACTTAAGATGAAACATTCATAGCATTACTGTCTGATTTATGTGACTGTCCATTATGGACAGAATATGACCCACACAAAGCAATAAAGTGGGTAAAGCCAGGAAATATAAATGCCATATATCAGGTTGTTGTGTTTACTCTTAGATGCTGGTCACTGGGTTCTTCTTCAGCAGGAGCACGGATGCTTCTCAGAACAGGGAGATAATCATAAAAATTTTGCTAATGACTCTAAACATTTGTTATGTTGACAACAAAACTTGCAGTCATTGAAATAATAAATGTTGCTTCTATCATCAGTATAATTTCTTAGCAGATACAGATGATTGAACTTTTGTATCTTGTGTTTGTCTTCTCAGCACCTGCTTTAATAGGAAGTTCACATGTACCAGCAAAGTGTGTGATGCTGTTTGTGGGATCTATGGTGACGGGCACTTCGTCACATTTGATGATAAGAGGTTTGACTTCAATGGACAGTGTGAATACAAACTCCTACAGGTAAAGTTAAATATGGTCAGCTGTAGAGTTACACTTTTGACCCTTGTGACACCAGCCTACCTTTGTAACAACAGATATGGGACAGAATGAGACTGAAGACTAAACTCCCAACAGCCTATAAAACTCTGTTTTTGTCCGGTGCGACAGGGGTTCTTACCTGACCAGAGAAGGTGTCTTCTTATCCTGGATCAGATGAAGCTAAATTCGACTCCATTATTTTGGATAGCACTGAAAATGTTCATATCATCTTACTATGATACTGCTGACTATCACACTACCAGGGATAGTACACATTATGGAAGGCATAGACAAATAAGCAGCACATTCCTAAATCTTAAGCTGGACATGACCTGCTCCTGAAGGTATTTTTCAAATCAAACCAATTGCCTTAACTGTAGTTTAAATCCAAAGTAAAGAGGTAAAAAGGAAAATTGTTACACAAGATCAAAACATGAACCTTGCTATCTTATTCAGTGTAAAGAAAAATGCATGAACTTGTGACACGTGCAAATGTTTTGTCCATTTTTGTTAAACTAGAATGTCTTGGGGTCACATATTGTATTTCAACAAAGATGTAATGATTCGACTCACCACAGTAAGATCATTATACTGTCTGAACACAAGGTCTTAACTTGTAGGTGACACCAGAGATGACGGTAGATACACTCAAAAGGTGTTGGCTGCAAAGTATTGCAAAATTGTTAATTTTGTGATCATGATCAAATCATTTAACAGTTTGCAAAAGTATACCATTTCAATCACCATCACATAAGGTGAAAAGTTAGCTTGTGTTCATTTCCCATAAATATCAAAGTATGTGGTAAAATTGTGGTAGAATTGTGGTAGAATTGCAGTCTCAGTGATTATTTGACATTATTTGGTTTCCTATCACCCTGTGGGGTGAGGGCAAGTCCAGTGAAAGTTGATTTTCAGGGCCTGAGAAACTGGCAAAAGTTTCTTTTCTAAAAGTTACCAGAGAAGGGGACAACAAACAACCAAAGCTCTGTTACATCCCTGGAAAACCTGGAGGTAACACAATGTGTGACCCCCATTTCTTAGAAAACAAGCAATACATTTCAAAATCAAATTTCACATCAGTTTTAGGGATCTTCAGTTGTGAGTGAAAGCCCAAACCAAGAAACTTAAGTTAACTAAATTAACTCTGGAATTATCTCAGAAAAAATAAACAAATAACAAACAGCTGATCACTTGACCATTTACAAAGGAAATAAAGGGAGCAAAAAAAGGCCTCTCACTCCCAATCTGCAACCAAAAGTGCTCTATATTTACTCTGTTTTCCCATTTACAAAATAATTGGAAGCTGGAAAGCAATTATCCAGTCATCTGAAATGTAAAATAAAATATCTAATTCACAATTTATCAACAAAGCAGGCCTACACAGTTAAGGCAATTCTAAGCTTCAGAACACACAGTCTAATGCTGTCAATCGGAAATGACAGGAGCAGGGGAGGGCAGACTGCAGCAGTAGAAATTTTAAACCAATATTTGGTTTAAACACTCATACAACCAAAACACACAAACAGTTTTGGTCACTGCATTCTCTGTCTGTTTTTGTTGTGTTCAGGACCACTGCAGTGAGGGTCAGGGTAAAGAAAGCTTCAGCATTATCACCGAGAATGTTCCATGCGGAACCACAGGAGTCACCTGCTCCAAGACCATCAAAATCTTCCTTGGGGTAAATACAACACATTTTTGCTATCTACCGCCACAAACACTGGATCAGGACATAAAACTTACAAACATGGGACTTGATAACAATGCTAACAATAGCATTATCATTGTGATTTTTTGAAATAACCTTAACTCAGAAAGGTAAGGAGTAACACATCATATCATAAACTTTAATAAGGAATTACATTAACAGAATTGTTATCATCCATTTCCAGTAATTTTCAAACTAGATCACAGGTACAGCTGGCTGAAATGAGTTTCCTCCTCAGGGTGGCTGGCCTTTGGCTTAGAGATAGGATGAGAAGCTCTGTTATGTGTGTGTGTGTGTGTGTGTGTGTGTGTGTGTGTGTGTGTGTGTGTGTGTGTGTGTGTGTGTGTGTGTGTGGTGGCAGTGGTTGTGGTGGTGGTGTTGGTGTTGGTGGTGTTGGGGGCTGCTGCTCCTCTGCCTTAAGAGGATGCCTCCTGGATGCCTCGCTGGTGAGATGTTCAGGGCACATCTCACTGGTAGGAAACCACAGGGAAGACAAAGGACACGCTGGAGAGACTCTGGGCTCTATTTTCGTGCCTCACTGGTGGTGTGGTGCAGGCGTGGCACAAGTCATGTCAGTCGTGCTGATGAGGTGTGCCCGAGCACACTTTGGTATTTTAGTGAGCAGCGCAGCCCGGCATAAGCATCTCCCCTCCTAACAGCTCCTCCTAGCGGTGTAAGTAGCAAAGAGGGAGGGGATAAGGTGTGGGGTGGGTTTAACACAGCCGAAGTAGTTAAGGAGATCAAGAGATGGCTGAAGACAGCAATGCCACACAATGGCAACTGAAGGCAGCCCCTCTACAAGTGTCACTGTAAGCGCTGCAGAGGGCGTCCTCCACACTCTCTCAATTAAGAGTAAGAGGGACTTGGTGCATGTAAGGTTGGACAATCACATCGAGCTGTATGTATTTAAACCCCAAATGACAAAGGTGGGTTGTGCGCACAGATCACAACGTAAACTAATTCCGATAATGGCATTAAAATTCTCACCATCTTTGCGTAAAGGAGCATTGTGCTCCGTGGCCTGGCTCTTTCTTTCATCCATGTTAGCAGATAAAATTAACTTGGCTCACGCAACTGAATATTATAATATTCATATGTAGGCCTAACTCCGGATTGAATATTCACAGAATTTTAAGGATGTGAGGACATTAGATAAAGAGGTTATTTTGAATGAAAGTTCCTTCTTTTCAAATATCTTGTTAACTTCATCATGTGTGACTATTTACTGGATATTTAATTAATGCGGTTTCAGCTCAGTTAATTTGGTCAGGTTGAGTGTCCAAACACGCTCATCAGATAAGATATAGATCAGAATATATCGATATAGATCTAAATGCATGTGCTGATTCAGATAGTTGCACTGAATATTGGTTGTTGTTGATTATTTGTGGCACTGAAATGTGCCTGACACTGTGGAAACCTGCCAGTGAGGGATCTGTGACGTATGCGCACTGTGCCGTCATTCTACTAAAATACCACTAGATCAGCTGCGCTCCGACTGTACTGAAAGTTGACCAGGTTTGAATCAGTGAGCTTTTAGCGCCCCCGCTCACGCTGCCGGTGAGCATGGAAATGTCACTGCCCCAGCAGATTCTGTTGACACCTCCCCCTAACGTGCCACCATGCCTAGCTTGGCGGACCTTGGTACGCCTCAGTCTACGAAAAATACTGGCTGGGCTTCACCAGATAAAAATACCACTTCGTGGGGTGCGCCACGCTGCCAGCGAGCATAAAAACAGAGCCCTATGTCTCTCGGCTGGCCTGTAAATGTTTCTGGGTCCCCCCAGGAGAAACTGGACAAAATGGCCAGGGAGAGGGAAGTCTTGGCTTCCCTGCTTAGGCTCCCACCTCTGTGACTCGACTCTGGATAAGCGGTAGAAGATGGATGGATGGATGATTTATCCGCATGACCGCTCCTGTGACCACAATATCTTTGGGGATGACATTGTCACATTAAATAATTATTGGTCACACTTTTATTTTGATGTGTTTTCTGAAGCAAGAGCGCTTCAAACTTAACCATCATCATTATAGATTTTATCTCCTGATTCTGATGAAATGCAGTACACTGATGCAGTACAAAATATGTTTCTTTTATGTCATCCACAGGAAAATGAATTCCAGCTTAAAGACGGAAACTTACATTTGGTCAAGGGCACCAGCAAAGTGTTCAATGTTAAGATCCAGAAGATGGGTATTTACCTGGTGGTCACAATCATGAAGGGACTGATAGTCATGTGGGACATGAAGACCAGTCTTTTCATTAAACTTGGCCCACAGTTCCAGGTAAACATTCAGGTTTGAATGTCATGATTGGAATCTGACTTTTGCAGAAAGTACAGTAAATAAGTCTCTCAGAGCTGTCAGAATGCATGACGACAGTTTGATACGATTATAGCCCAGTCAAGCAGACGAAGGGTGTTGGGACCTGTCAGCCCTGAAAATCAGTCAAGATATTTTGTGTCTCTGTTTCAAATAAGTAGTTTGTATAACTGTACAAAGTTAGATGGTTTGTACTAGAAATGACGTATTGTGCCCTCAAGGACACTTATGTAGTCTGATACAGTAACTTGCTCTGGGCCTGACATATAGAGAAGAAACCTATGGCAAAAGCAAATCCAGTTCCACGAACAAAACTTTGATTCTGGATATACACAGTTTGTAGTCAGCTGCTCTTTGGAAACATGTGCCTCTTAAAGACAAATCAAACCTGAGTAGAACATGGGACACAGTTGCTTTAGGTCAAGTGAGTAAAACATGCAACTATGTCAGAAATTAATAACTAAGTCAGCGAAGGTGGTCTACAAGAATAAAATCTGCCTTGAGGGGAAAAGAATATCTCACAGACACAAACTAATGTTCTTGTTTGTGCAAGTGATGTTGAATGAAAACTCATGCTGTCTTTGAACTTCTTCCTCTCAGGGTCAAGTCTGTGGTCTTTGTGGAAACTATGACGGCGACAGTAAGAACGATTTCACCACACCCTCCCAGGAGATAGTGGCAGATGTTATTGACTTTGGTAACAGTTGGAAAATTTCATCCAGTTGCCCAAATGCCCAACCGATCCCTGATCCCTGTGCCTCCAATGGCTATCGGGCAGCCTGGTCCAAGAGACAATGTAGCATCATCATCCGTGCCACCTTCAAGAAGTGCCACTCTCAGGTAAATATGGTGATATCAAGCACAGATCTTTGTTTGTTACCAATCAAACCCTTTAGACTGCAAATATTTAAGCTGAATATTCTCGGTCTTTACTGAGTTAATTCAGCAACCTTACCACACCCTCTTCTCTATCACTTGGACCAATAAGACAGCCTAAGACCAGCCTTTATACCATTGCAACCAATGCCCCTACTCCCATTAGTACAGAGCAACATTACTGTCACCCTCTATCTTTGAAACAGTGCTACAAGTACACTTTTGTCTGTTCAAGGTTGATCCCGGTCCATACTTTGAATCCTGTGTAAGAGACACTTGTGCTTGTGACACTGGTGGGGACTGCGAGTGTTTCTGCACTGCTGTGGCCGCTTATGCTGCAGCTTGTAATGAAGCCGGGGTCTGCGTGAGATGGAGAACTCCAAAAATGTGCCGTGAGTTTGATCATTGTATCACGAGGATCATCTGAGCCAGGATGTAAAGATTTAATGAGGAACCTTGGGCACTGATGAACCCTTGATATCTCTCACTCAAAGATTTACATTCATGAGTGAAATCAGCAGAATTGAAACAAATGTACTTTATCTTTTGCAGCTATATTCTGTGACTACTACAATGCCCCTGATGACTGTGAGTGGCATTACAAACCTTGTGGTGCTCCCTGCATGAAGACATGTAGAAATCCATCAGGAAAATGTTCCAAACTCATCACTGCCATGGAAGGTATATTCAAAAGATTTTATTTTTGCTTGTATTGTTTTTTAAAACAACAACTAAGACAACAACAAAAGTAACAAACCAGCACAATGGCAAGCTTTGAAAAATAGTTTCTTTGATTCCATAGTTGGCAACCCTTCCACGTCATTACTTCTGATCAGTCTACTTGCAGGACATTAAAGGGAACATTTCAGTTCACCCTCAAGTCATAGTCAATGCTGTGATATACAGGCTGAACATTTTCATTGATGGTTAAATTAGACATGGTGGTCAGCACTTCTGATATTAATGTAGGCTTTTGTCAGCTGCACCTCTCCTCAGAACAGTAATGACGCCTATAAAGATAAATAAGGCAAAGGTCACAACTTTTAACATTATTTCTCTCATCACTACCCCTTCAGTTATAAGTTACTGCATAGACTTGGAGGTTCACTCATCAGTACTGCTATAGTTGCCCGGATTGCAAGGCAGATTAAATTTAAAGTATCCATGATGCTAAGCCTACTCATTTGTTGCTAACACAGTTGATGTTTTCACCGAATTGTTTACTATTTATGAATACCAACAGAATTTTTTTTTTTTTCGTATTGTCAAAAAAGAGGGCGTGAGATGTGCTAGATTAAATTGTGGATGTGGTAGATTAAATTGATATTGCATGTATGATCTGGTCTTTTGTGACCTTGCTCATGCTGTTCAGAATTGTTATCAGAGGGGTTGACCATTCAGAATCAAGTGTTTAATAAAGCAAGGTGATTAGAGACGAAGCTGGGTAAAAGTTTTTTTTTTTTTTTTTTCAATATGCTTGAAACATTTTTTCATGATTCAACCATCTAGCTTTGAGCTATGATTTCTTGGAGTAAATTTCTGTAGCTCAATTCTGCAGTTTGTTCTGAGGTTGGATGTTGGATGGCCCCAAGTTTTCTTCAGCTTAATGACTCAAAATAAAAAATCATACTCTTCAATTACTCCAACTTCTCCATTCCACAGATAGAAAACTCCCTCGGGCCATTTTCCTCAATAATCACAGCAACTGCAAGATTGATCAATTAATTGATTGATTGAACTTTATTCAATTAAGATCCATCTCCAAGGTTAAATCAATTATGTCCCCAGCAAACGTGGGAAAATGCTCTCATCCCCCCTCAGTTAGATCACTGTAACTCACTCCTCTCTGGTATTACCCGTAAATCTCTCTCTCACCTCCAACTTGTCCAGAACACAGCAGTTCAGCTTCTTACTGGTTTTTACTGATGACATTATATCAGTCCTGTCCTTTCCTGCCTTCCCTGACTCCCTGTGGGTTTTAGGATTGAGTTATAAGATTTTTAATGTTGTTGTTGTTGTTGTTGTTGTTGTTAAGTGTTTGTCCTCTGAGGCTCAAACTGTCCAATATGAATTTGCAGGCTGCTACCCACAGTGTCCCCCTACCCGTCCCTACTTTGATGAAGACTCTATGAAATGCGTTTCATGGGAGCAATGTGGATGCTATGATAACAAGGGCAGTCATTACACTATCGGTCAGGAGGTTCCATCATCGCAAAACTGTTACACTTGGTATGTTTTGTTCACAGAAATGATTTTCAAATGAAGGGCATACACCTCAAGTACAAATTGATACATCTACCACAATTGGACATGCACACTTGCCATGTTCAGAAAAATGTCAAGTTCATATATATTTGAAATTATGGTACTTACTTTGATTGTCCAGTTTGATAGAAAACAAAATGTACTTCCATAATTTCACTGCCAGTCACTTAAGCATTGCTAAATCTGACTAAAACAAACCATAATTATTTAAGGAAAATTATAATAATGGGTTTTTTAAGGATTTGCATTGCTCATTGATGACTATAATTTTTTTATCTCTACGGTGGAGATCAGAATTCAAGTATCAATTTAAAAATAATAATTTCAGGAGAATATTGATATTGGTGAAATATCAACAAATTCATAAAACAGACTGAAAAGATAACAACCAACAACTGTTTGATGAATGCGTGGTCACACAAGTTTATTCTTAAAACAATTTTAGCTTTTTTAAACATACCGTAACTGTCTGAGATTGACACCCTGGTTTGCAGAGATTGCAACTTCTTTACCCCTTAAAAGGAGTTGGACTTCTGTACTTTTTAATTGAGGAGAGTTGAAGGTGTTTAAGTATATAGTTAACTCTAGCTACCTGGTGGTTATGCTAGATGAATTCCTTTAGGGTGAGACAAAACTCCACTGCAAAGCTTATAATCAGTTTTTACACACAGAGTTGATATATAAACAAGTTGTAGAGGTCTAAATGTGATTTTACTGGTTTAAAAATAATATGTCTTGAAAAAATAGTTCCCAGTTGTGAGTATGGTCTAGAACTGTTCTCTTCGCCACAAGGTAATATTTGTTGACATTGAATTAGTATTTTAAAAAATTTTCAATACTGATTAATTGATTACACTTTTTATTTTTGTGACATTTTCAAATTATAGAAGGAAAATCAGTGTTTCACTTGTTTTTATCATACTATTCAGATTTAAGGGGTTTTGAGTGTCAGAATCAGTATTTAACACAAACAGATGAAAAACAGAAGTAACAGGTGTTAACTTATCCATTTTTCATCTTTTTAAAAGCCTTTGTACAAGCTCTGGAATTGAGTGCAACTACACCGTGGAAAGTAAGTATAAGTATACACAGTCTGTAACATGCACACACAAATTGTCATTTATTAAAGATGTAAAGGTAGTATAAAAATGTAAATGACGGTATTCTTGATTTCTAGGCTGTCTGTGCTATGTGAATGCAAAAAGCTACAAATATGGAGAGATTCTCTACCAAACCCATGATGGCCTTGGACATTGCTTAATTGCTGTGTGTGGAGTCAATGGAACAGTGGAAAGACAAATATACCCATGCACAACGACCACAACTACTGGCCCGACTACAACTCCTTTTACTTTCACTACTGCTGAAACCACAACTTCAGGTGAACCACAACTTTTTGTAAATAACCAGAAAACTACCTTCCATTTTGATGGGAAAAGAACAGAAATATTGGTTTCTTTGATGTCATGTACGACTGATTTACCAATTACCCATAGCCAACAACCTTAGTGACAGTCAGTGTGTTTTCATGTTGTTTGAAAAAAGTTTTATCGCCTATTTCCTGATGAAACTGTAATTTTAAATGTATTTAAACATATTAGTCCAACAGAAATCACACTAAATTAAAGAGAGAGCCTGGGGGCTGGGAAGAGATAGCTGGGGGCTGGGGGTAGAGAACCGAGAGGCTTAACTTACCTCTTGATTTTTCCTGGCTAAAAATAATGTGGTGGTAGTACCTGATAGTGGGTTCACAGGTGCAAAGCCATCAACTGGCTCAAACCAGTGTCTTACCAGCAGTCTATTTTAGGAGTTGTAATTACTAGAATTAAAAAAAAAGTCTTTTTTGACAAAAATAAGTTTTTGGCCTAAATCATCTTTTGATAATGCTGGCCATCTATGGTAAAAATTGTCTAAATGCTTAGTTAAAAGAATCATGCCATGATCTTTACAACTAAGGATTTAGGTGATTTTACTGATTTTCGGCGATTTTATCATGGCATGATCCTTTTAACTAAGGATTTAGGCGATTTTACCAGAGATGGCCAGCATTATCAAGAGGTGATTTAGGCCAAAAACTCATTTTTGTCTAAAAATGACTGAGTCCATTATTTTAATAGGGTGACAATTTTTTAGAACCTCCTGATGCAGTCTTAATATCCAAAGACTTCCTGGTTTGGACCATCATTGGCCACCTGACAGCATACATCCAGTGCCTCTCCTTAAGTTTGTGATGCAGGGGTGTTTTTATCTTAAAAGATTAAAACCCTATTATGTCGAGCAGTCACCATCTGAGTTTTTTGCAGTGCCTCGTCTTTGTCTCTCTGGTTTAATGGCAGCATTATGTGGAGGTAAATTCACAACCAAAGATGCTGTACAGGTTGGCCGGTGCTAATTCAACACAACACCACCACCACCACCTCTGGTGGTTGAAAGCAACTGCAGCTACATATGACTGAAATGACAGATCCCAACAGGAAATGCTTGGTGGAATATCTAACTGAAAAAAATTTAGCCATGAGCTGGTGGCAGTCAGGAATCTGGCAGTGGGTTAGGGCTGCTTCCAAATTCTCTATGAAGAAAATCTCTGTATCTGGTTTAAGTGGTGGGGATTCATTTTTCCTATCATGTATACAACTCAATCAAACTGAAAATAGCCCAAGTGTCCTGCGCATGTTCCAGTGTCACACAACAGGCTCTGATCTGTTAGCAGCAGATAGAGGAGAAGGCTCAATTTTAATTCTTTTAGATCTCAGTGCAGCTTTTGATACAGTTGATCATGCTATTTTAATTGAACTTAGCTGGTGTCAGTCGCATCTTTTAGAGCAAACCTATGCGGTTACCATAGGTAATCACACCTTCCCTACTTCTGCTATCACCTTTGGTGTACAGCAAGGTTCAGTTTCCAGTCCAATTCTATTTTCTATCTACATGCTGCCCCTCGGCCAATTAACTAAGCACCACGAGTCTACTTTCACTGCTACGCAAACCCAAGAGGCCTAGCTGCTGTCATGGGGCTCTATTTTCGTCTGCCAAGGCGTTCCCAAGCACAATTTGATATTTTGATGAGCGGCGCAGCCCGGCGTAAGTATCCCCCCTCCCTAACTCAGCTCCTCCCAGCGGCGTAAGTCGTAGCGAGGGAGGAGAGAGGGCGTGGAGTGAGTTTAACACAGCCGAGACCTGTACTGACCAATAACATCAGCTCCTCTCCTCACCTTTAAATCCGCCACCGGCGAGGCGTATTACAATTTTCATGAAGTAGTCAAAGAGATCAAGAGACGTGTGAAGACAGCAATGCCACACGATGGCGACAGAATGCAGCCCCTCAACAAGTGTCACTGTAAGCGCTGCATTGGGCGTCCTCCACACTCTCTCATATAAGCACAGATGGATTTGGTGTGTGTAAGTTTGTACCCACTGGTAAGACAAACACCCTTTTCCACAAATAAAGACAATCACATAAAGTTGCATGTATTCAAACCTCACGTGACAAAGGTGGGTTGAGCGCACAGCATATAAAATAAATTTGGCTCACAAAACTGAATATTATAATATCCGTATATAGGCTAGTAAATAAGTCATCTGATCACTCAAACAAATCATCTGTTCAGCCACTGCAGGACAGGGAGAAGACACAAAGACATGTCCAGGTCAAGCTGCGCGAGAAATAAGAGGAAGAGGAAAAAGAAAAGGAGGGAGACGAATTACATATCTTGTTAACTTCATCATGTGTGTTTATTTACTAGATATTTAATTTAATTTAATGCGGTTTCAGCTGTGTTGACTCAGGTTGTGTGTCCAAATGAGTGCCAAACGTGCTCATCAGATCAGATATATTAATATAGATCTAAATGTGGAAACCTGCCGGTGAGGCATCAGTGACGTATGCCGACATGCCGTCGGTCTACCAAAATACCACTAGACCAGCTGCGCTTTGCCTGCGCTGAAAGCTGACCAGGTTTGAATCGGCGAACTTTCAGCGCACTTCATACGACGGTGGCGAGCACGAAAATTTCGACACCTCCCCCTGCCATGCTACCACGCCCAGCTTGGCGGATCTCGGTGCGCCTCAGTCCACGAAAATACCAATCCGGCTGTACGCTGGGCTCCGGCGTACAGCCTGCCACCTGCCTGCCACCTGCCAAAGTAGATAAAGACATGCTCTTGTCAATGATTAAATAACCTAATTGAGTCATGAATATAGCTTAACTTTACTTTGCATGTAAAGCTGGATAGAAATTGAGAGTAAAGTGACAATGGCACCAATTGTAACACCCCCCCAAAAAACTAACTCTTTTTTTGTTTTAACAGCACAATCAACAACAACTGAGACCACTGAAGAAACAGAAGAAACAACAACTGAAGAAACAGAGGAAACAACTAAAGCCACTGCAGGCACCACCTCAGTAACTGTGACACCCCGAACAACAGGCTCCACCGCCTCAACAACTACAACCACAATTACCACAACAGTTCCAGAAACATCTACTCCTGGAAGCACAACCTCACCAACTGTTTCCACAAAGACAACTGTCTCCACCACATCCACAACAAAACCAACCACAACAGTTTCGGAATTAACAACTCCTGAAAGCACCACCTCAGCAACTCCTACATACACCACCCCTGGCCCCCCAACATCCACAACATCCACAACCACGTCTACAACAACAGTTCCTGAAACAACAACTCCTGGAAGCACAACCTCACCAACTGTTTCCACAAAGACAACTGTCTCCACCACATCCACAACAAAACCAACCACAACAGTTTCGGAATTAACAACTCCTGAAAGCACCACCTCAGCAACTCCTACATACACCACCCCTGGCCCCCCAACATCCACAACATCCACAACCACGTCTACAACAACAGTTCCTGAAACAACAACTCCTGGAAGCACAACCTCACCAACTGTTTCCACAAAGACAACTGTCCGTACCACATCCACAACCACACCAACCACAACAGTTTCAGAGACAACAAGTCCTGAAAGCACCACCTCAGCAACTCCTACATACACCACCCCTGGCCCCACAACATCCACAACATCCACAACCAAATCTACAACAACAGTTCCTGAAACAACAACTCCTGGAAGCACAACCTCACCAACTGTTTCCACAAAGACAACTGTGTCCACCACATCCACGACCAAACCAACCACAACAGTTTTGGAAACAACAACTCCTGAAAGCACCACCTCAGCAACGCCTACTACCACCACCACTGGCCCCACAACAGTTACAACCTCATCTACCACAACAGTTACTCAAACATCTACTTCTGGAAGCACAACCTCACCAACTGTTTCCACAAAGACAACTGTCCCTACCACATCCACTACCACACCTAACACAACAGTTTCAGAAACAACAACTCCTGAAAGCACCACCACAGCAGCTCCTACAACCACAACCCCTGGCCCCACAACATCCACAACATCCACAACCTCATCTACCACAACAGTTACTCAAACATCTACTCCTGGAAGCACAACCTCACAAACTGTTTCCACAAAGACAACTGTCCCCACCACATCCATAACCACACCTTACACAACAGTTTCAGAAACAACAACTCCTGAAAGCACCACCTCAGCAACGCCTACAACCACCACCTCTGGCCCCACAACATCAACAACCTCATCTACCACAACAGTTCCAGAAACTACAACTCCTGGAAGCACAACCTCACCAACTGTTTCCACAAAGACAACTGTCTCCACCACATCCACAACCAAACCAACCACAACAGTTTCGGAATCAACAACTCCTGAAAGCACCACCTCAGCAACTCCTACATACACCACCCCTGGCCCCCCAACATCCACAACATCCACAACCGCGTCGACAACAACAGTTCCTGAAACAACAACTCCTGGAAGCACAACCTCACCAACTGTTTCCACAAAGACAACTGTCCCTACCACATCCACAACCACACCAACCACAACAATATCAGAAACAACAACTCCTGAAAGCACCACCTCAGCAACTCATACATACACCACCCCTGGCTCCCCAACATCCACAACCACATCTACAACAACAGTTCCTGAAACAACAACTCCTGGAAGCACAACCTCACCAACTGTTTCCACAAAGACAACTGTCCCTACCACATCCACAACCACACCAACCACAACAACATCAGAAACAACAACTACTGAAAGCACCACCTCAGCAACTCATACATACACCACCCCTGGCTCCCCAACATCCACAACCACATCTACAACAACAGTTCCTGAAACAACAACTCCTGGAAGCACAACCTCACCAACTGTTTCCACAAAGACAACTGTGTCCACCACATCCACAACCACACCTAACACAACAGTTTCAGAAACAACAACTCCTGAAAGCACCACCACAGCAACTCCTACTACCACCACCACTGGCTCCACAACAGTAACAACCTTATCTACTACAACAGTAACTCAAACATCTACTTCTGAAAGCACAACCTTATCAACTGTTTCCACAAAGACCACCGTCCCTACCACATCCACAACCACACCAACCACAACAATATCAGAAACAACAACTCCTGAAAGCACCACCTCAGCAACTCATACATACACCACCCCTGGCTCCCCAACATCCACAACCACATCTACAACAACAGTTTCAGAAACAACAACTCCTGAAAGCACCACCACAGCAACTCCTATTACCACAACCCCTAGCCACACAACATCCACAACATCCACAACCTCATCTACCACAACAGTTCCTCAAACATCTACTCCTGGAAGCACAACCTCACCGATTGTTTCCACAACGACCACTGTTACCACAACCACACCTAACACAACAGTTTCAGAAACAACAACTCCTGAAAGCACCACTCCAGCAACGCCTACTACCACCACCTCTGGCCCCACAACATCCACAACATCCACAACCTCATCTACCACAACAGTTCCTCAAACATCTACTTCTGGAAGCACAACCTCACCAACTGTTTCCACAAAGACAACTGTCCCCACCACATCCACAACCACACCAACCACAACAGTTTCAGAAACAACAACTCCTGAAAGCACCACCTCAGCCACTCCTACAACCACCACCTCTGGCCCCACAACATCCACAACCGTATATACCACAACAGTTCCTCAAACATCTACTCCTGGAAGCACAACCTCACCAACTGTTTCCACAAAGACAACTGTCCCCACCACATCCACAACCACACCAAACACAACATTTTCAGAAACAACAACCTCTGAAAGCACCACCTCAGCAACTACTACTCCCTCAACCCCTGGCCCCACAACATCCACAACATCGACAACCCTATCTACCACAACAGTTACTCAAACATCTACTCCTGGAAGCACAACCTCACCAACTGTTTCCACAACGACCACTGTCCCCACCACGTCCACGTCCACAACCACACCAACCACAACAGTTTCAGAAACAACAACTCCTGAAAGCACCACCTCAGCAACTCCTACAACCACCACCTCTGGCCCCACAACATCCACAACCTTATATACCACAACAGTTCCTCAAACATCTACTCCTGGAAGCACAACCTCACCAACTGTTTCCACAACTACCACTGTTACTACCACATCCACAACCACACCTAACACAACAGTTTCAGAAACAACAACTCCTGAAAGCACCACCTCAGCAACGCCTACTACCACCACCTCTGGCCCCACAACATCCACAACATCCACAACCTCATCTACCACAACAGTTCCTCAAACATCTACTTCTGGAAGCACAACCTCACCAACTGTTTCCACAAAGACAACTGTCCCCACCACATTAACAACCACACCAACCAAAAAAGTTTCAGAAACAACAACTCCTGAAAGCACCACCTCAGCAACTCCTACAACCACCACCTCTGGCCCCACAACATCCACAACCTTATATACCACAACAGTTCCTCAAACATCTACTCCTGGAAGCACAACCTCACCAACTGTTTCCACAAAGACAACTGTCCCCACCACATCCACAACCACACCAACCACAACAGGTTCAGAAACAACAACTCCTGAAAGCACCACCTCAGCAACTCCTACTACCACCACCCCTGGCTCCACAACATCCACAACATCGACAACCTCATCTACCACAACAGTTACTCAAACATCTACTCCTGGAAGCACAACCTCACCAACTGTTTCCACAAAGACAACTGTCCCCACCACATCCACAACCACACCAACCACAACAGTTTCAGAAACAACAACTCCTGAAAGCACCACCTCAGCAACTCCTACAACCACCACCTCTGGCCCCACAACATCCACAACCTTATATACCACAACAGTTCCTCAAACATCTACTCCTGGAAGCACAACCTCACCAACTGTTTCCACAAAGACAACTGTCCCCACCACATCCACAACCACACCAACCACAACAGTTTCAGAAACAACAACTCCTGAAAGCACCACCTCAGCAACTCCTACAACCACCACCTCTGGCCCCACAACATCCACAACCTTATATACCACAACAGTTCCTCAAACATCTACTCCTGGAAGCACAACCTCGCCAACTGTTTCCACAACGACCACTGTTACTACCACATCCACAACCACACCTAACACAACAGTTTCAGAAACAACAACTCCTGAAAGCACCACCTCAGCAACGCCTACTACCACAACCTCTGGCCCCACAACATCCACAACATCCACAACCTCATCTACAACAACAGTTCCTCAAACATCTACTCCTGGAAGCACAACCTCACCAACTGTTTCCACAAAGACAACTGTCACCACCACATCCACAACCACACCAACCACAACAGTTTCAGAAACAACAACTCCTGAAAGCACCACCTCAGCAACTCATACATACACCACCTCTGGCCCCACAACATCCACAACCCTATCTACCACAACAGTAACTCAAACATCTACTCCTGGAAGCACAACCTCACCAACTGTTACCACAAAGACAACTGTCCCCACCACATCCACAACCACAACAACCACAACAGTTTCAGAAACAACAACTCCTGAAAGCACCACCTCAGCAACTCCTACAACCACCACCTCTGGCCCCACAACATCCACAACCTTATATACCACAACAGTTCCTCAAACATCTACTCCTGGAAGCACAACCTCACCAACTGTTTCCACAACGACCACTGTTACTACCACATCCACAACCACACCTAACACAACTGTTTCAGAAACAACAACTCCTGAAAGCACCACCTCAGCAACGCCTACTACCACCACCTCTGGCCCTACAACATCCACAACATCCACAACCTCATCTACCACCACAGTTCCTCAAACATCTACTCCTGGAAGCACAACCTCACCAACTGTTTCCACAAAGACAACTGTTCCCACCACATCAACAACCACACCAACCACAACAGTTTCAGAAACAACAACTCCTGAAAGCACCACCTCAGCAACTCATACATACACCACCTCTGGCCCCACAACATCCACAACCCTATCTACCACAACAGTAACTCAAACATCTACTCCTGGAAGCACAACCTCACCAACTGTTACCACAAAGACAACTGTCCCCACCACATCCACAACCACACCAACCACAACAGTTTCAGAAACAACAACTCCTGAAAGCACCACCTCAGCAACTCCTACAACCACCACCTCTGGCCCCACAACATCCACAACCTTATATACCACAACAGTTACTCAACCATCTACTCCTGGAAGCACAACCTCACCAACTGTTTCCACAACGACCACTGTCCCCACCACGTCCACATCCACAACCACACCTAACACAACAGTTTCAGAAACAACAACTCCTGAAAGCACCACCTCAGCAACGCCTACTACCACCACCTCTGGCCCCACAACATCCACAACATCCACAACCTTATATACCACAACAGTTACTCAAACATCTACTCCTGGAAGCACAACCTCACCAACTGTTTCCACAAAGACAACTGTCACCACCACATCCACAACCACACCAACCACAACAGTTTCAGAAACAACCACTCCTGAAAGCACCACCTCAGCCACTCCTACAACCACCACCTCTGGCCCCACAACAACTACAACCTTATATACCACAACAGTTCCTCAAACATCTACTCCTGGAAGCACAACCTCACCAACTGTTTCCACAAAGACAACTGTTCCCACCACATCAACAACCACACCAACCACAACAGTTTCAGAAACAACAACTCCTGAAAGCACCACCTCAGCAACTCATACATACACCACCTCTGGCCCCACAACATCCACAACCCTATCTACCACAACAGTTACTCAAACATCTACTCCTGGAAGCACAACCTCACCAACTGTTACCACAAAGACAACTTCCACCACCACATCCACAACTGTTTCCACAACGACCACTGTCCCCACCACGTCCACAACCACACCAACCACAACAGTTTCAGAAACAACAACTCCTGAAAGCACCACCTCAGCAACTCCTACAACCACCACCTCTGGCCCCACAACATCCACAACCTTATATACCACAACAGTTCCTCAAACATCTACTCCTGGAAGCACAACCTCACCAACTGTTTCCACAACGACCACTGTTACTACCACATCCACATCCACAACCACACCTAACACAACAGTTTCAGAAACAACAACTCCTGAAAGCACCACCTCAGCAACGCCTACTACCACCACCTCTGGCCCCACAACATCCACAACATCCACAACCTTATATACCACAACAGTTCCTCAAACATCTACTCCTGGAAGCACAACCTCACCAACTGTTTCCACAAAGACAACTGTCACCACCACATCCACAACCACACCAACCACAACAGTTTCAGAAACAACCACTCCTGAAAGCACCACCTCAGCCACTCCTACAACCACCACCTCTGGCCCCACAACAACTACAACCTTATATACCACAACAGTTCCTCAAACATCTACTCCTGGAAGCACAACCTCACCAACTGTTTCCACAAAGACAACTGTCCCCACCACATCCACAACCACACCAACCACAACAGTTTCAGAAACAACAACTCCTGAAAGCACCACCTCAGCAACTCCTACTCCCTCAACCCCTGGCTCCACAACATCGACAACCTCATCTACCACAACAGTTACTCAAACATCTACTCCTGGAAGCACAACCTCACCAACTGTTTCCACAACGACCACTGTCCCCACCACGTCCACAACCACACCAACCACAACAGTTTCAGAAACAACAACTCCTGAAAGCACCACCTCAGCAACTCCTACAACCACCACCTCTGGCCCCACAACATCCACAACCTTATATACCACAACAGTTCCTCAAACATCTACTCCTGGAAGCACAACCTCACCAACTGTTTCCACAACGACCACTGTTACTACCACATCCACATCCACAACCACACCTAACACAACAGTTTCAGAAACAACAACTCCTGAAAGCACCACCTCAGCAACGCCTACTACCACCACCTCTGGCCCCACAACATCCACAACATCCACAACCTCATCTACCACAACAGTTCCTCAAACATCTACTCCTGGAAGCACAACCTCACCAACTGTTTCCACAAAGACAACTTCCACCACCACATCCACAACCACACCAACCACAACAGTTTCAGAAACAACAACTCCTGAAAGCACCACCTCAGCAACTCCTACAACCACCACCTCTGGCCCCACAACCTCCACAACCTTATATACCACAACAGTTCCTCAAACATCTACTCCTGGAAGCACAACCTCACCAACTGTTTCCACAAAGACAACTGTCCCCACCACATCCACAACCACACCTTACACAACATTTTCAGAAACAACAACCCCTGAAAGCACCACCTCAGCAACTCCTACTCCCTCAACCCCTGGCTCCACAACATCCACAACCTCATCTACCACAACAGTTCCTCAAACATCTACTTCTGGAAGCACAACCTCACCAACTGTTTCCACAAAGACAACTGTCCCCACCACATCCACAACCACACCAACCACAACAGTTTCAGAAACAACAACTCCTGAAAGCACCACCTCAGCCACTCCTACAACCACCACCTCTGGCCCCACAACATCCACAACCTTATATACCACAACAGTTCCTCAAACATCTACTCCTGGAAGCACAACCTCACCAACTGTTTCCACAACGACCACTGTTACTACCACATCCACAACCACACCTAACACAACAGTTTCAGAAACAACAACTCCTGAAAGCACCACCTCAGCAACGCCTACTACCACCACCTCTGGCCCCACAACATCCACAACATCGACAACCCTATCTACCACCACAGTTCCTCAAACATCTACTCCTGGAAGCACAACCTCACCAACTGTTTCCACAAAGACAACTGTCACCACCACATCCACAACCACACCAACCACAACAGTTTCAGAAACAACAACTCCTGAAAGCACCACCTCAGCAACTCCTACAACCACCACCTCTGGCCCCACAACCTCCACAACCTTATATACCACAACAGTTCCTCAAACATCTACTCCTGGAAGCACAACCTCACCAACTGTTTCCACAAAGACAACTGTCCCCACCACATCCACAACCACACCTTACACAACATTTTCAGAAACAACAACCCCTGAAAGCACCACCTCAGCAACTCCTACTCCCTCAACCCCTGGCTCCACAACATCGACAACCTCATCTACCACAACAGTTACTCAAACATCTACTCCTGGAAGCACAACCTCACCAACTGTTTCCACAAAGACAACTGTCCCCACCACATCCACAACCACACCAACCACAACAGTTTCAGAAACAACAACTCCTGAAAGCACCACCTCAGCAACTCCTACAACCACCACCTCTGGCCCCACAACATCCACAACCTTATATACCACAACAGTTCCTCAAACATCTACTCCTGGAAGCACAACCTCACCAACTGTTTCCACAACGACCACTGTTACTACCACATCCACATCCACAACCACACCTAACACAACAGTTTCAGAAACAACAACTCCTGAAAGCACCACCTCAGCAACGCCTACTACCACCACCTCTGGCCCCACAACATCCACAACATCCACAACCTCATCTACCACCACAGTTCCTCAAACATCTACTCCTGGAAGCACAACCTCACCAACTGTTTCCACAAAGACAACTGTCTCCACCACATCCACAACCACACCAACCACAACAGTTTCAGAAACAACAACTCCTGAAAGCACCACCTCAGCAACTCCTACAACCACCACCTCTGGCCCCACAACCTCCACAACCTTATATACCACAACAGTTCCTCAAACATCTACTCCTGGAAGCACAACCTCACCAACTGTTTCCACAACGACAACTGTCCCCACCACATCCACAACCACACCTTACACAACATTTTCAGAAACAACAACCCCTGAAAGCACCACCTCAGCAACTCCTACTCCCTCAACCCCTGGCCCCACAACATCCACAACATCGACAACCTCATCTACCACAACAGTTACTCAAACATCTACTCCTGGAAGCACAACCTCACCAACTGTTTCCACAAAGACAACTGTCCCCACCACATTAACAACCACACCAACCAAAAAAGTTTCAGAAACAACAACTCCTGAAAGCACCACCTCAGCAACTCCTACAACCACCACCTCTGGCCCCACAACATCCACAACCTTATATACCACAACAGTTCCTCAAACATCTACTCCTGGAAGCACAACCTCACCAACGGTTTCCACAAAGACAACTGTCCCCACCACATCCACAACCACACCTAACACAACAGTTTCAGAAACAACAACTCCTGAAAGCACCACCTCAGCAACGCCTACTACCACCACCTCTGGCCCCACAACATCCACAACATCCACAACCTCATCTACCACCACAGTTCCTCAAACATCTACTCCTGGAAGCACAACCTCACCAACTGTTTCCACAAAGACAACTGTCTCCACCACATCCACAACCACACCAACCACAACAGTTTCAGAAACAACAACTCCTGAAAGCACCACCTCAGCAACTCCTACAACCACCACCTCTGGCCCCACAACATCCACAACCTTATATACCACAACAGTTCCTCAAACATCTACTCCTGGAAGCACAACCTCACCAACTGTTTCCACAACGACCACTGTCCCTACCACATCCACAACCACACCTAACACAACAGTTTCAGAAACAACAACTCCTGAAAGCACCACCTCAGCAACTCCTACTACCACCACCCCTGGCCCCACAACATCCACAACATCCACAACCTCATCTACCACAACAGTTACTCAAACATCTACTCCTGGAAGCACAACCTCACCAACTGTTTCCACAAAGACAACTGTCCCCACCACATCCACAACCACACCAACAACAACAGTTACAGAGACAACAACTCCTGAGAGCACCACCTCAACAGCTGTCACACCTACCACCACTGGTTCCACAACATCCATAACCACACCTTACACAACAGTTTCAGAAACAACAACCATTGAAAGCACCACCTTAACAACAGTTTCCACAAGGACTACTGGCCCCACAACATCCACAACCACACCAACTACACCAGTTCTAGAAACAACTACTACTGGAAGCACCACATCACCAACTGTTACAACTCTCACCACAATAGTTACACAAACATTCAATGAAACTACCCCATCAGTTATCACTCAGTCAACCCAAAAGACAACTTTTAGCACTGGACATCAAGTTTATTCAAGTACTCCTACCTCTACAGTCACTTCTGTTGAGACCACAACTCTTCTTAGCTCTTCCACTGTGATACCGACAGGCAGCACAACTATTATCACAACTACCCCTGGTCAAAAATCAACTACAGTGCTTTCAACAACACCACTTCATACAACAACCACAACGTGTGTTTGCTTGGTCAATGGGACATCATACCTCCCTGGTGCGTAATTTTTCACTTTTAAAACTACCTTTTTGTTCTTTACTAAATATCTACATTTTTAAGTTCTCTTTGAGTTAAATTTTTAATATAAATTTCTTAGCCGTTTTTCACTTAAAAGAGTCCTTTTAGTAATACTGAAAATTAAAGTTTGATTTTCATGGAGAATAAAATCAGATCTTTTCAGTTAATTTTAAACAAGCATGCAGTTTTTCATGTGTAATCACACTGCTTTCTCCATTACAAGTAAAACAGCCTTAGGAATCAAAAAGAATTTCAAAATCCACTAAAACCCCCACTTTGTTTGTTTTTTTCTTGTTTTTTTTTTTTTTACTAAAAGTGTTCTCAGTGGTCTTTAAATTGTGATTATGATGTTTTTACCAAAAATCAGGTTAGCTGTGTCTCTTTCAAGGGCTTTTCTTCTGCAGAGCTCCGGTAGATCATTAGCAATTCACCTCTGAGTCATGGGCAGGGGACAGCGCTGCTCTTCACGTTAGCTTGCAGCCTAACATTGCAAGTGTAGTAGAAGCCGCAGGTAATACAGGAGCTATTCAGCTCGCAGACATGATGAAAGCAAATATCATAATTAGCTTTCTCATGAACAATGCAATCGGGGAACACACACGCTTGTTCTGCGATAGTTCTCTGAATTTCTCCTCTATATGAAGAGTGTGGCCTGCATAGAGGGGCTCCGGGGGCGGTGCTTGGATTGGTTACATATGAAATCTCACTGTTTCTAAACCTGCCATTTGGGTTTGCCAGAGATTTACAGAGATTTGACTGAAAAAATACTCAGAAAAGCAATTTAATATTTAGTTTTCTCATATTAGCATCAGAAAAATGCCATATGAACATATAAAAAACAAGAAAAACATGATTTTCATTAGAGTGGGTCTTTAATACACCAACATGCCTGCAAGGAACTTTAATTAGTTTAGTCATGATTAAAGACGTGATTGTTTCAGAATGTAAAGCAATCATCAAGACTCTGGGCTCTATTTTCATGCCTCGCCGAGAAGGCGTTCCCAAGCACAATTTGGTATTTTGGTGGGTGGCACAGCCCGGCGTAAGTATCCCCCCTCCTAACTCAGCTCCTCCCAGTGGCATAAGTCGTAGCGAGGGAGGAGAGAGGGCGTGGAGTAGTTTTAACACAGCTGAGACCTGTATTGACCAATAGCATCAGCTCCTCTCCTCGCCTTTAAATCCGCCACCAGCAAGGCGTATTACCATTTTCGTGAAGTAGTCAAAGAGATCAAGAGATGTCTGAAGACAGCAATGGCGTCAAAAGGCAGCCCCTCAACAAGTGTCACTTTAAACGCTGCAGAGGGCGTCCTTCACACTCTCTCATATGAGCACAGATGGATTTGATGTGTGTAAGTTTGGACCCACTGGTAAGACAAACAACCTTTTCCACGAATAGAGACACTCACATAAAGTTTCTTATATTCAAACCTCACGTGACAAAGGTGGGTTGTGCACACAGATCACATCATAAATTCCAAAAATGGCGTTAAAATCGGAACCATCTGTGTGTAAAGGATGCATCGCGCTCCGTGGCCTGGCTCTTTCTTTCATAGATGTTGGCATATAAAATAAATTAAACAAAACTGAATATTATAATATTCGTATGTAGGCTTAGAGTAAATAACTCATCTGATCACTAAAATAAATCATCACCAAAATACCACTAGACCAGCTGCGCTCTGCCTGTGCTAAAAGCTGACAAAGTTTAAACCGGCAAGCTTTCAGCGCACTTTTCACTCCACTGGCAAGCACAAAAATGTCACTGCGCCAGCTGATTCTGTCGACACCTCCCCTTGCCGCGCCACCACGCCCAGCTTGGCGGGCCTTGGTGCGCCGCAGTCTATGAAAATACCAAACTAGCTGTACGCCGGGCTCCGCCAGACGAAAAATACCACTGCATGGGGAAAATTCCACTACGTGTCATCGACGGGCACGAAAATAGAGCCCTATTTCCATGGGCTGTACTGCTCAGCCTCCAGTCTGTATTTTTCAGAATGTTGAGTTGTTAATTGTGTGTCATATCAGGGTGTGCACCAAAATACAGGACAGATAATGCAGAGAGGGACAGAGCATAAAAAAACAATAGGTCAGAATGATATCTGCTCATTTCCTTTTATGAACATGAATTATAACACAGGAGCCAACTTTAATGCATAAACTATGTCTTCACATGTTGGGATGACATGCAAAACAATATCAAAAAATATTGTTTATAAGACAGGAGAGTAATACGTATCTTCCATCATTCATATTTATAGAGAAAAAAGAAACTAGCAGGCCACTTCTTCTGATCGTGTCACCATGTATTTGTGTATGTAAGTGGTTTCTTTACAGGCTGAGGGCAGAGCTTGATGTTTTAGGCCTGTCCTCTTTATTGTGGCAACATAAAGCAATTGAGTAGTGCAGTGGAGCAGTTTTATTTGGGGGCGGGCTGTACACAGTGCCAAAAGCACAAATTAATCGGTTGAGAGAGCCTATTGCAATAATCACATAAGTTTAGTGAGTCTAGAGGCATGGTGAGATCTTTAGGGATTTTCCAACAAACTGCTTTGGGCAGTTTACATCGGTTTTCTAGGACTAATACAGCATAAGTTTACCTCCCGATTAAACATTTGTATAGGCTACATTTAATAAGGATACCAAACATTGTAACTTTACATTTTGTTTGTTAGTATGGAAAAGCATAGTCCCCCCTCTTTGAGAACAACATGAAACACATCCATACATACATGCCTATGTTTTCAGAACTCTTGGAACAGCTAATTCATGACAAATGACATCTACTTCTCACTGATGCAACTAATGTCTCCTGTAAAAAGAACTCAAAGCTACAACCAAACTATCACTGTAATGATCTTCAATGTATCCCTGCACATATAAGCGTACACACTACCCAAGTACTGCCTCACACACTTTTTTTTTTTTTTTAATATAAAATTTTGATAACAGCGCATTTCAGCCAGTGGCAATTGGCCCCCCCTAAGTCTCTTGGCTGCAAGTTTAAAACACCTTCTGTGTCACAGTACAGGAGTTTTCATGGTTAAAAGACAACTAGGTACAGTTGTGGATCATCTTGCTGCATCAGAAACCATAAAATGTTTTGGCTTTGATGCAGAGGGATATTTGAATTGCTCCTGCCCATTTTGTAAGCAAGGCGATGTTTGAATTATCACTGTTTCTCGCTGAGGCTTTGATAGTGGAGTGTGGCCGTATGCTGTGGTGTCTGGTTGGGCTACCATGGACCTCCGCTGCAGATTTGAGCATAGATAGTGATGTTGCTCTTGACTTGAGCAGGGCTGAGGCTTTTGAAGCAAGTTTTCTCATGCTTATCCTAGTTAGCAGGATGTCTGATTATAAGAGCAGCTTTAATGATGGTACAGTGATGATACATGATCAGAAGTGAATGAGTCTACTGTATGTTGGAACAACAATGAGAAATGAAGGCAGGAAAAGAATAAGTTTAGACAAGAAAATAACTCAGTTGATAATATTGAAGATAGAGACATGTCAGATTATTAGCTGTGATATTGTCAGAGATAACTGAAGAGCTCAGGAGGGTGCTGAACAGTGCTAAGGCATTGATAGTGCATTCTGCTTCTTCTACTTACAGACTGGCCTATACAGGGCTGCTTGTATTCTCTGTTCTCTTTGTAATGGCTGTCTTTACATGTTCAGTCACCCTTAAATTTACTAAATTAAAGTTTCCACTAAACTTTGCTTTTACAGGGGAAACAGTGTACAACGTCACTGACAATGCTGGCGCGCAAGGGGCGTGTTTTGTTGGACATTGCAATGCATCTTGCAAAATTGAGACAACTATTATTCCATGTCCAACAACCCCACCTCAAACTGTGGACTGCATCTACATGAATGAGACACGAAAGGTATGAAATCTCTGAGATGTTACTACACAAGACAGGGAAGGGTCCAGGTTCAAGGATTTGCTGAATAGTTTTTAAAAATATGTGACAAAGTCCTACATCTTTTCATCTGTTATTATTGAGAACAAGGGTATGAATTGAGTGTATATTCTAAGATAAAATAAGATGAACTTAATTTATCCCTGAGGGGAAATTCAAATTAAGTTTCTGTGATTGATTTAAATTTAGGATTAAAAAATAAATTTTAGGCCTACCAAAAGCATTTTTCTCTGATACATTTTATTTTCAAAGACATATAATCTCCATATGGCAACTGATGATGCTGCAAAGCTACAGAACATATAAAGACATTAAGCGGTGGGCTGACAGGATATAGGGATGTTTTATCCCTGGTGAGAGAAAAAAATTGGCCAAAGTTTCTTTGTCTGCAATCAGCGCATGCACACTCATAATTACAAAATAACATTTTATACACAAATTGAGATGCACATGGGGAATCAATTGGTCAATTGCTACTTATTATGGAGGAGCTTAAAGGGTTAGGAGAATATTGTTTCTTGGTGTTGTTTTTTGTATGCATTGAGTTAAAGTGTGTATTACACAGAAGTGCTGCTACCAGGACAAAAGTAAGCAGGAAGTTGTATTGTCTCAGAACGCAGTAAGAAGATTGAACTTACCACTTACAAACTTAGTGTGTAAATAAGGATGAGTGAAACAATGACAGCCAAAACCAGACAGATGTGGTTAAACTAGTTTAATCTGATAGGTTAAGAACTGATAGGCTCGTATGTATTGTGGCTGGCAATTGGTTCAACCGACAAAGTAGGCAGTTGCATTTCCTTGCAAGTTTAACAAACTTTAAATTGTGTTCCCACAAAATTGTACAAGAAGTTTAAGTGGCAATTCTGATTCTGAGATTCTGAGTAAGAATAAAATAATCTTCAATTCTCCCTCAATGGAGATCATTAATTTTCAAAATCAAAAGGTGATATGTGGTCACAGCCCACTGCCTACATGTGGAGCAGGTTCATAAAAGTAATCTTCATTGACATGTTCATTAAGGTTTAACTATTTAATGTGGAATTGCTGTAAAAATAGAAGTGAGCAGGAAAATGTCTCAGATTCACAGGATCCACTTTTATGTCTGTGTTCTGATTGAGAAAAACGAAAGGTAGTCCACATGAAAGGGTGTAAGCCAGGAGCAATACTGGGTCTCAATCAGTCAGGTGACCAAAAACACACGCTCACATGGTTCTGATGTTGCTGGTGTGCTGGGATACTCGGATGCCAGCTTTGCAAGCCTAGATAAATCTCTGCATGTCCTGTAAAAAGTTTTCAATGTTTGAGTCAATCCTTGGGGTCCCTGCTGTATGTGTAATACTCTTAATAGAAAGAGATATTGCAAAAAACATGTCGCATGGCTGCACTCCCCAGTCGAGCATTTCCCCTGGGTGTGGGACCTAAAGTCATTTGGAGCATCCATACATAGCCTCCCTGCTGCTCTAGGTGGGTCAGTGCAACATGGAGGGCTGTGGCCACGGCGTCTTCTGTGGATCTGTTTGCCCTGTATGCAAACTGATGTGGGTCCAGGCTTTTTGGCAGGTATGATGTGATGTGACCTCGGACCAGCATTTCAAAGGATTTAATCACCACTGGGGTGGTTGGTAGTCATTGAGGCTGGAAATGTGGGGTTTCTTGGGCAAGGGGACGATGGTGGAGGTCTTCAACATGGTGGGACAGTGGACGTGGACAGGGACTGGTTGAAAATCTTTGTGAAGACTCAAGCCAGCTGATCCGAGCAGTCCTTTAACACACGGCCAGACACTCCATCGGGCCCAGCAGCCTTCCTAGGGTCAACGGCACGCAGGGCACGCCTCGCCTCACGTTCTGTAAAGGTTAAGTTGCCCTGTGCAGTGGGGTGTAGTGTGGCTGCCTTGGGTGGTTCCACCTCAAAACCGGCAAAGAAAGTTTTCAGCTCCTCTGCCAGCGAGGCCTCACCTTCAGCAGCTCCAAAGGTGGGCCTGAAGGTGGTGAGTTGCTGGACTCCTTGCCACACTTGCCTGCTGTTGTTATTTTCCAGGTGTGCCTCAATCTTCTTCCGATAGTCCGCCTTGGCCCCTTTGATGCCTCTCCTCAGGTCAGCCCGCACCTCAGAGTAAAGGGCCTGGTCACCAGACCTTAAGGCGATGTTCCTCTCCCTCACCAGCTGCTGGACCTCCTGAGTCATCCAGGGCTTCCGGTTGGCGTAGACCTGGATCCATTTTTCCACAGTAACAGTGCCTATGCAGTGTCATATGTAACACAGCACATATAGCACAGTCCTGTAGCTGCTGAGAGGCACCATCGGGCCAAGTTGTTACAGTTTTTGTGATGATGGGTGTACTTTTCCTGAGGGGGGCATATGCAGGAATTAACAGCAGGGACAAATGGTCAGACTGGCCCAGGTGAGGTAGTGGTTTAGCTCTGTAGCCAAGCTTGATGTTAGAGTAGACCTTGTCCAGAGTCTTATCTCCTCTAGTCGTGCATTAAACATGTTGATTGAATTTAGGGAGTGCTGTTCTCAAATTAGCATGATTGAAGTCCGCGGCTACAATGTGTTCAGCGTCAGGATATTTGCTCTGCTGGCTGCTAATGCCACTGTACAAATGGCTGCAAGCCACCTTAGCATTAGCATCCAGTGGTATGTAAACAGCGGTTATCATTACGACAGAAAACTCTCTTGGGAGGCAGATAAGTCTGCATTTCACAGTTATGTACTCCAAGTCCGGGGAACAGTGGCTGTCCACAGTTACTGTGTTCGTACACCAGCTGTTATTTACAAACACACACAGCCCCCCTACTCTGCTTTTACCAGACCTCTGTGTCCTGTCCTGATGCTGTACAGTGGAGCCTGTTATCTCCGCCACTTAATCCAGAACAAGTGGGTGAAGCCAGGTCTCCGTGAAGAGCAGAATACAGATATCCTTCACGGCTTTGTTGGTTGAAATCTGTAGCCTTGGGTCATCCATTTTGTTTGCAAGAGATTGAGCATTGGCGAGAAACAGGCTGGGAAGCGGAGGTCTAAGTGGCTGCCTCCATAGACTGGCTAGCAGGCCAGCCCTGCAGCCCCGCTTTTGCCTCCTCTCACTCCGCCGCCTTCGCTGCTTCCGGATGGGGATGGTAATCCACGGGGAATCTGCTGTGCCAATTCTTCTGGTATGTTACGTGCATGGAGAAACCTTGCTGTAATACTCTTTTCGTAACAGACTCCTATCCTAAGGAGATCGTGCCGATTGTAGATGGTCTTCGCTCTACAGAAAACACCCAGGACACCCAGGACACACATGAACACGAAACTAAAAAGCCATATAAAGCACCAACCGAGAGCGCACCGGGCCGCAGCAACTGTGTGTGCTGCCATCTTTGTCTAACCCCGCCATCTTGGTCATCCTTGTTCTCACAGGCTTCCCCGATGAGCTGTGTCACCAGTCCAGTGTGTTCTAGACACCCTATTACTTTAGAGATCCCTCCCTTCTGTATCAACATGTCTATGTAGTTGTAACCGGAGAGGATGTCAGAAAGCTGCCTTGCTACTATAAAGATCTTTCCTTCCATGCTTAGTAGGGAAATCATCCTGAAATGGCTGATCTTCTTAGAATTCTTTTCTTTAGGAATCAAGACTCCTTCAGCATATCTCCACTGCTGTGCCACCATCCCTCTCCAGATGACTCCTAGGATCTTCGAGATTCGCTTAGGTAGCAATGGACAGTCTTTGTAGACCTTGTATGGGACAACACTTGGTCCAGGGGTGGAGCTAGATCTTTCCTTCTACACTATCTCTTGGAATTCAATCAGAAGTGGTTCCCTAATGTTGAAGACCTTGGTGAAAGGTGGTGGGTCTACAAGGATGTCACACTGGCCCAGCTGCCTGCTGGGGTTACTGTAGTTGTTCTGGATGTGCAGATTTAGCCTCTACTTAGAGCAGACCAGATTGCCATCTTGCTTCTGCCCCAACAGCGATTTGGTGAAGCCAAAGGGACTGGCGATAGACAAAGTCCGCATCCTGCCTCTCTTCTTCAGGTGCCTTTGGTGTCATTCTGCTCTGTGTAGAGTCATCAGTCTCTTCCTCAAGATGGCCAATTCTGCCAAGGGGGGCATTGCTCCTCCCTGGCTTCCTTGTATTGCTTCTTGAGGGACTTAAGCTCCTTGTGAGTCTTCACTGCTCTCTGGTTCATGGTGTAAGGCAACTGAGCAGCATTCTTCTCCACTGCACCAAACCTCTCCTAAGCTAGACTGATAATGATGGTTGTCATTGCCTGCAGCCTCTGATCCACATCACCATTTGCAGACGCTTCAAGCATCTTGTTGACATCCTTGTCAAACTGCCCCCATGCTCTTGTGTTGCAGGCCTGTGGCCAGTTGAGTTGAACATTTCCTAGGGGGAGATTTGGTTGTACCACATGAAGGCACTGGGCTGTATGCTTTTTTTTCCTGGCAAAACTCCTCCTGCATCTCAGCAGATGTAGTATCTGTGGTGCGTCAACTCTCCCCAAACACTTCATCTTGGCCTGGCGAATCTTGAAGCCTTGGCTGTTTTAGCAGATTTTCCTGCATCTGCATGTTGGGGTCCAGGTTGATATTCCGTATCCATTTGTTATTGCTGTTTTGTTCATCCAGTTGTGGTTAGGGTTAGGGTATGAAACACAGCCTTGTAAACAATACACTTAAATAAGCTGTGGGACTTTACAGCAACCCAATGTGTTAGTTTCATCAATACAACAATCTTCTTCTCAATCCCTTTTCAGCATAACGAGACCTGGGTGATTGACAACTGCACCATTGCCATCTGTGAGGATGGAAAAGTAATAGAGAAACCTAAAACCTGTCCTACAGTGGAAAAACTTGTGTGTGCCAGTGGACTCCAACCTGTTAAGGTCTATGATGAAGATGGATGCTGTTTCCACTATGAGTGTGAATGTAGGTTGAAAATCTGTTGAAAAAAGTGTACTTAAACATTTACAGATTTATTATAAATCTATCCATCTATTTATCTGTGTCTAAAGAGATATGTGTGTAGATAGATAGATAGATAGATAGATAGATAGATAGATAGATAGATAGATAGATAGATAGATAGATAGATAGATAGATAGATAGATAATTATGGATTTATAGCTAAATATGTTCAATAGCTTGATGTATACTGGCACACTGCTGGTACACAATCGCGGCCTTCTTGATAAAAATAATTTTCAGATGTCCTTGTCTAGTTTTTGCTAACTGCAGTGTTCTTCCAATTCTGCAGGTGTGTGCAGTGGTACACTAACTCACCACAGCACATTTGATGGCGTGTGTTACTTTTTCCATCAGGAATGTAAATTCACTTTGGTCAAAGAGATTATTGATAAATATAACCTATCTATCATAGTGGATTATGAGGAGTGTCCACAGTCTATCATCCCAAATTGTCCCCGTACCCTCATTATTTATTTCCAGTCACACAAGATAGTTTTGACACATACATCGGCTTCAACATTTGCGGTAAGCAACATTTCAAGTCAATAAGACATACTTTATGTTTACATGGTTATTTTCTGACTTAATTTAAAACTTTAAACTCTACATTTAATCTGTAACTCAAAGTGACATGACTTACTACACATAGTCATACAGTCAGTCAGAAAGTCATTTTTTTTTTCCTGTTTTGTCTCCCTGTCCTACAGGTATATGTGGACGGCAACCATATCTATCCTGCCTACAGCAATGCTTACCTAATCCTCACTAGCACAGTTTTTGAGGTCACTCTGAAGATCCCAGAAATTGATACAAAAATTGTTTATAGAATTCACTCGTTTACAATCTATCTCCCTCATTCCCGCTTTGGTGGCAATACCGAGGGACTATGTGGTGAGTTACCAAAGCATACAGCCAATACTGCTGTTTTTATTTTTTAACTCTGTTCAGTTAAGAAAGAAGGCCATTTGTGGGATAAAAAAACAATAATTTCAGGTGGTTTATGTATATTTCTGAAGGAATTTTACATTCAACAATGTCAACACGGAAAGTAGCAAGCTATTACAGGGCTCTTTTTACATGTGAACTACTGTAACTTCTCATTGAACAGGAAACTGTGACAATGACCGGACCAATGACTGCTCTTCTTCAAACGGCATGACACACAGTTGCCCAGAGACTGCAGCCAACTGGACTGTCCAAGGTAGACCCTGTGTAGTCTCCACAACCCCCCCAGGGAGCACAACTGTATCAGGAGGGACAACTACAACATCCCTAACATCACAGCTCCCGTGTAAATTTACAGTCTGTGAACTCTTAACACACAGGTGAGGAATAAAGACAACCGCTTTGGTTTGAACTACTTGACTGTTCACTGTGTATAGAATAACTTGTTTACAAGCTCAAAAAAGAAAAAATTGTGTATGATCTAAAATAAGCCTTGATCCAAAGTGAGTCATGCTGTTCACTACGTACAGTTTTGGATAGACCTAAAAATTGTGTTCTTGGTATTCCATACATCTTGTGGGAGAGTTTAAGGAATATGCTCAGTTTTACAGTATGAAACCGGTAAGAAATTTCTGTCTTCATTTAATTCAATTCCCTTAAGATCTTGCCAACTGATCTCAAAAGCTGTTTTATTGCTTTTGTCATGTTTTATGACAAACTGCTCTGACTTGTGTGTTTCCTTCTAGTGCGTTTGAGCCTTGCCACGCAGTCATACCCCCACTCCCATTCGCTGCAGCCTGTGAGGCCGGCAACTGCGATGACAACATGAATGTGACTTTCCCTTGCTCATTCCTGGAGCAATATGCTGCAATGTGTGCTATCGCAGGAGTCTGTATTGACTGGAGGAATGCTACCAACGGGCGGTGTGGTGAGATTTATGCCCTGTTTTATCAAATATACAGTTGTTGTGTGCAGTGTCTAAAATTTGTGTTGAGATGTTTTTCTATTTTACAGAGTACAAGTGTCCAGACAACAAAGTGTACAAGGCCTGTGCTCCCAGTGTAGAACCCACATGCAATAACAGGTAAAATATTTGTTGAGTAAGCAGTTTGACCCTTTGTTATGTCAATCTAAATTTGTGTCTCAACATCGAGAAATCCCTTTATAAGGTCATATGCTTCAATTTCTGATTTCAATAAAGCAGTTGGGAAAATAAAGATTTTTGAGCTAAATCTTAATTTTATGTGTCCTAAAGAAACACAAACATCTGAATTTTGGAATAATCATGACATTATTATGACATTACCCCATAGCCCTTTTTTTAAGGGTGAGTTATCAGGAGGCTTATCAAAATTGTGTTGCTTTAAAAGGACACAAGCAAGGTATAACCCTATTACCTGGACAAACACTTTTCATTTAGGACGTTGTGTAAAACATAAATAAAAACAGAAACCAATGATCTGCAATTCCTTTCTGTCTATTTTCAACTGAATACACTACAAATACAAGACATTTAATGTTTAAACTGATAAACTTTACTGTTGCTTTGCACATATTCTCTCATTTTGAAAATCTCCAAGGCTATCTCCAAACCATATGGTGCAATTTTAATGGAGTTAGGGTAATCACGGCACCATTCTGATTGGAAAAATTCATGTCAAAATCTGAAGCCTCTCAGTTCCTCCCACACACTTCCAATTCACAAACCCTGATGTCCTATTATGAGTTTCATTTACCTCTCTCATTTGTGGGATGAATATCTCAAAGAACAGTGATGAATGGACTTGTACGTCAAAAGTTCTACAGTTCTACAATTCTTCATCCTAAGTGTAATGAGGATAAGACTTACACAGCACTGTTTTCAGACCACTGCTTAAAAAAATTTACCAACCACGACAATAACTACTAATTTAATTTCGGTCACTTATTTCATTAGATACAACAAGAAGTTCAACGCAGGAGATATGTCTCTAAGTATTCCTCAGGAGGGTTGCTTCTGTCCTGAAGGAACCACCTTATTCAACCAAGTCCATCAAAAATGTGTCCCCTCATGCGGTAAGCAGAAGAATAAACTTTCTTTTGATGGGTCATGAAATATTTCACACCAACACTGACACATTTGCAAACTAATGGTCTCTGTTTGATACTCAGATTGTGTTGGACCTGATGGAGGACCAAAATTGGTGAGAGTTCAGCCTCAAACATACAACACTGAATACACCATCTAAGAAGAGCTGTGTGTCTAACCTGGGTATTCTCTCTCTTATTCTTGCTCTCTCTCTCTCTCTCTCTCTCTCTAATTCTTATTCTTGTTCTCTGTCTCTCTCTGTCTCTCTCTCTCTTATTCTCTCTCTCTCTCTCTCTCTCTCTCTCTCTCTCTCTCTCTCTCTCTCTCTCTCTTTCTTTCTTTGCCAGCCTGGTGAGAAATGGATCTCCAACTGCCAGGACTGTGAATGTAACAATGACTCCATGAGTGTCCAGTGTGAACCAATTATCTGCTCAACACCCTTGGTTCCTGACTGCAGTGAGCCCGGACAGAAGCTGGTCACCAAGAAAGTTGACTGCTGCTCCAAACATTCATGTGGTAAGTGTGTAGTGTTGTAGAAACAGATCACTGACACCAAACCACAAGGTTAGAAATATGAGCACAAGAAACAGCACACTATGTGTCAAAACATTGTAAATGGTATCTAATGGTGCCAGAGACTAGAACTACAAACCTCTCCTGTAGTCCAAAATACCACAACAGAGACCCTGGACTGTGGATCAGCTGAAGTGGTCCATCAATCAAGACTGTGAAAGAAATTACCTCCAAAGCTTCAACAGTCAGTTTCCTCATTTACACAGTTTACCAACTTCATTAGAATAGGGGTTTGTACTCATGGCCTGACTATAACTATAAATACAAAACAATATTAAACATTACTTAACATTACTGCTGGCTGCTTCACTAAGTAAGTAAACCGTTTGTGTTTTCACCTCTCTTAAGTAGCCACAGTGGTTTTTGTTATATTTCTGTGATCATTTCGGTACGACACAGACTGGCCAGACTGGTTGTACATAACAGCACAATGATATACACGCACCATGTCCATCAAGTAATTTAAAGATAAAAGAGGGTAAATCTCCAACACAAATCATTCTGTCCTCCTCTTCACTACAGAATGCGACGTAGCCCTGTGTCCTGAAAAAATGACCTGTCCCCTGGGCTTCGAACTCAACATCACACAGGGCATCTGCTGTCAATCCTACGTGTGTGGTATGTGAATTTGCTCTGCCCCACAGCAGGTTGGGTGTTCATTGTGGTGATTCAGAAAGAAGGGAATCACCTTTGTGGTTCAAGTTAAAACTGTTAAGTTACCTTGTGAACCCTGTCCATCAAGACCTCATTGGACTGTGGCACCTCCTACGTCCTTTCTGTTCTTTCTCCATTTATACATAAGCAGTATTTTACGACGGAAAAAAAAGAAGGGGTTTTGTAGCAGGATGCAAATAATCAGCACAACGGACACAACAATCATAATGAATTACGATGAAGGAAACCTCAGTTTCTTTTGCTGAAGGTCTCTTTGCCTTTGAAAGTCAGATGGAAGTGCACGTTTTAATTCAGTCCATTTTGTAACCAGTAAAAACCTCCCCGTAGAGCTTTGAAGTTTTGATTGTCATATTTTGATATTTAGAAGTGATTTTTTTTTTCTCAGAAAATCATATTGACACAAAAATTTGGATACTGACCTGAATTATACTGTTTGTGTTTTTGCAGTTCCTAAAGGTGTTTGTGTCTATCAAGGCACTGAGTACATGGTAAGTGAACAGTTTGGAGTCTAGACATTAATTATGAAGTCTGAAAATGTTGAGGTGTGATATGATAGGGGATCAGTCTAAGAAATAAAACCAGTGTGCAAATTCACAGTTTAGTCATGAATGTGTCAACCCTTCTGAGACTATATCCCTAAGTTTCATGTGTTCTGTTTACCCTGTTGGGGTTCTGATTTTCACAACTTTTCTTTATCACATTGTGTACAATGGTAATGGTAACAGTTAATGCTAAATGTTCTTTGAACATTGACCCCATAACTTTAGGAATAATAGTAATACAGCGCTTACACTCAAAATTGCCCATGGTTACGATATAGGGGCCTTTTAAAAAATTAGTTAACTTAGCTGTTAAGGAGGACTGGCGAAGTATTCAGAGGGAATCAGGGTGCAATTAAAAGTAACATCGTTACTTTTCTAACTTCTTTTCTATGATAGCCAAAGTGTAACTGTGAAACTATTTTAGTTTTAATTTGCCCTTCTGAATTATAATGCACTCAGTAGAGATTATGTCAAAACAATGGTGAATAAGTAAGTGGAATTAAGCTTTTTTTTATTTACAGCTCAAAGTTTGAGCAGTTAAAATAAAAAGATATCAGTGTAGAAAAATTCAACTGATAAAAAATGCTTACTTTATACTGTTTCAGCCAAATTCAACAATCCCAGTACCTGAACATCCATCAGGATCAACAACAACAGAGCAACCAGCAGGAGCTACTACAGGTGGAGCTGGACAACAAAGTAGAGGAACTACATCAGAATCTGGAGAACAGGGTGGAGGAAAAACTACATCTGAATCTGGACAACAGGGTGGAGGAAAAACTACAGCAGAATCTGGACAACAGGGTGGAGGACGAACTACATCAGAATCTGGACAACAGGGTGGAGGAAAAACTACATCAGAATCTGGACAACAGGGTGGAGGAAAAACTACAGCAGAATCTGGACAACAGGGTGGAGGAAAAACTACAGCAGAATCTGGACAACAGGGTGGAGGAAAAACTACAGCAGAATCTGGACAACAGGGTGGAGGAAAAACTACATCTGAATCTGGACAACAGGGTGGAGGAAGAACTACAGCAGAATCTGGACAACAGGGTGGAGGAAAAACTACAGCAGAATCTGGAGAACAGGGTGGAGGAAAAACTACAGCAGAATCTGGAGAACAGGGTGGAGGAAAAACTACAGCAGAATCTGGAGAACAGGGTGGAGGAAAAACTACATCAGAATCTGGAGAACAGGGTGGAGGAAAAACTACAGCAGAATCTGGAGAACAGGGTGGAGGAAAAACTACAGCAGAATCTGGAGAACAGGGTGGAGGAAAAACTACATCAGAATCTGGAGAACAGGGTGGAGGAAAAACTACATCAGAATCTGGAGAACAGGGTGGAGGAAAAACTACAGCAGAATCTGGAGAACAGGGTGGAGGAAAAACTACAGCAGAATCTGGAGAACAGGGTGGAGGAAAAACTACAGCAGAATCTGGAGAACAGGGTGGAGGAAAAACTACATCTGAATCTGGAGAACAGGGTGGAGGAAAAACTACAGCAGAATCTGGACAACAGGGTGGAGGAAGAACTACAGCAGAATCTGGACAACAGGGTGGAGGAAGAACTACAGCAGAATCTGGACAACAGGGTGGAGGAAGAACTACAGCAGAATCTGGACAACAGGGTGGAGGAACAACTACAGCAGAATCTGGACAACAGGGTGGAGGAACAACTACAGCAGAATCTGGACAACAGGGTGGAGGAACAACTACAGCAGAATCTGGACAACAGGGTGGAGGAAAAACTACAGCAGAATCTGGACAACAGGGTGGAGGAAAAACTACAGCAGAATCTGGACAACAGGGTGGAGGAAAAACTACAGCAGAATCTGGACAACAGGGTGGAGGAAGAACTACAGCAGAATCTGGACAACAGGGTGGAGGAAAAACTACAGAAGGAGCTGGACAACAGGGTGGAACAACAACAGGACAGCCTTTTGTTCCTGGGCCCTGTCAGGAGTGCTATTGTGGACCCAGGATGGACCCAGTCACCAAGCTTCACATCATTGAATGCAAACCCATTGTTTGCAATAAAACCTGTCCAGAAGTAAGTCAAACAAATGCAAAAGCCAACCTCCCCCATTTTTTATTTTTAGTTTTTTCAGAAGCAATTCAAGATAGTGTTGACACTGATCATGTACATGAAACAAACAATTTTATCCAGCATTCAACATTGCCTCTCTTTTTTTTCTTAAGCCAGTCCTAACCTGAAGAATATATAGCCAAGCAAAAATTATTATGTGCCCGCCAAGCCAGCCTTGCGAGCAAGGTATGCACATATTGTTATCAACCGGGCAGGCTCAGTAACGGCCCCAAAATGCAAAGCAGCACAACCCGGTATAGTGCATTCAGACATGACATGGCGACGCTAGACGCCAAAAAGGAGCGAAAATTTCGCCATGTAAGCAGATGGGAGAGGGCGGGGAAAAAAAAAACAATTCTTTGCATGACTTTGACGCCTTGCCCTGTCGCCATACTTTGATGTAGAAGTGAAAATTGTAACACCCGACCTGTGATTTCAAAAGTGTAGACAGCTCGTCCATATCTGATACGGTTTGGCCACAGTAACTGTTCAAGCAAGGTGTGCAAACGAGGATTTTCCATTTTTAGAGTGATGACTCATTATTTTATAGTGAAGAGAAGTTAACGTGTAATCCCAATTTTTAATTTATAAATCACTGCCACGACCACAATTTTCGTTCGACACACACAAATTGTACATCAAAAAGTAGCAAATCTATCAGACGGACAGAAAATGTGGACCTTGAAGCTGCGAGATGCTCAGTTTTCAAGCTACAAGGTTTTGTTTGGGAGGAGGTACCTGTTTCACCTCCATCCATTCAAAAAGAACACAAATGCTCCACATCCAACTGTTGCTCATTTTCTCTGAACAACTCATGCTCCTGCCTAACCATATAGTGTAGCAACTTGTCCTTCTGATATGTTGTAGCTGTATTCAAGCAACTTGTCCCTCTGATATGTCGTAGCTGTATTCCAGCAGTCGCTCATAGTCCAAAGTTTATTCCGATACAACATGTAGTTTGTCAGCAACAAGCCTTTTGTGGGCACTAGTGAGATATCAAGATTCCTATTCAAAGTGAATGGAGCTGCTGAAAACATGGGGCAGTCACCATATTTGGAGCTTGATTGTGATGTCATACTTTGAGGTAGAAATGTGATTTGAACTCTGACCTTTAGATGAGACCCGTACCCTTCAACCTGTGAAAACCGCATTTCAATATCTCTTACGGTTTTCCTACAAAGTGAGTTTGTTTGGGCTAGTCCTGTCCTAAGCAGGCAGAGGCTCAGTGAGGCTAAGTCTGTGTCACAGGTGAGCTGCAGGTGCACTGTGACCATGGAGACAATTCCCACTCAGAGCACAGGGCCTGCCCACCTGGTCTTGATTGACAGCTGTCTTCCAGACACCACAACATAGAGACAGCCGGATTGCCTTGAGTTTCAAGTCAGATTCATGACAAAGGCCCTTAATCACCAATGCTTTGACATATCAGCACCATATTTGACACTTCCCCTTGTGACCCCACACTATGTCCCATTGGCTGCCATCTTGGATGACCCGACCATCCCCAAATAAGAAATTAAGATGAAGATTAAGACTAAGAAGAACTTTATTTATCGCGGAAGGGAAATTCAATTGTCTGTTGTCTCACGTAATATGTCTCTAAAAGCTATCTACTATTTAAACAAGGGTTATTAAGTCTGATGGCTGTTGGTACAAAAGATCTTCTGAATCTTTCTGTCCTGCAGTGTAGAGAGAGGAACTGTCCACAACCATTAGCCCTTTGATTCATCAGGGTGTTGTGAAGTGGGTGATCGCTGTTCTTTATAATAGACTCCACCTTCCTCAGTGTAGATCTCGCCACCACATCCTCCACTGAGCCCAGCTTGAGTCCAAAAACAGAGCCAGCCTTTTTCACCAGTTTGTTAAGACGTCTTGCATCTTTGTGTTTGATGCTTCCTCCCCAGCAGACTGCAGCGTAGAACAGAACACTGTAGACACCACAGGCTGATAAAACATCTGCAGCATCTTACTACAGATGTCTATTGATCGGAGTCTTCTCAGGCAAAAGAGGCGGCTCTGCCCCTTTCCATAGATGAAGTCTATATTCTTAAACCAGTCCAACTTATTATCCAGATGTACACTAGGGTATTTATATGATGTCACCACTTCGATGTCCACTCCACAGATGTTCACTGGCTGAAGAGGGGGTTTGGAGTCTATGACCATCTCCTTTGTCTTTGAGGTGTTGAAGATGAGGCACTTTTTGTGACTCCAGTCACTGAAGGCTCTTATTAGATCTCTGTATTCAGCTTCTTGTTCATTTCTGATACATGCCACAATAGCAGTGTCATCTGAGTATTTCTGGATGTGGCAGGACTCAGTGCTGTATTTGAAGTCTGACGTATACAGTGTGAACCGGAATGGTGCCAGCACTGTCCCTTGTGGAGCCCCTGTACTGTTCATTAATGTCCCAGAAACAGTTTCCCAGCCTGACAAACTGTGGCCTTCCTGTCAGGTAATCTGTGATCCAGGAAACACAGGAAGGGTCCACTCCCATCTCTGTGAGCTTGTCTTTGAGTATGGTGGGTTTGATGGTGTTGAATGCACTTGAAAAGAACATGATCCTCACATAAACCCCAGGTTCCTCCAGATGAGACAGGGCACGGTGAAGCATGTAGAGGACAGCATCGTCCACTCCAATATGTTCTTTGTATACAAACTGCAGGGAATCCAGTTTGTCTCAGACCTCAGACCTCAGAGGGTGTAGAATCAGCTGCTGCAGGGTTTTCATGATGTGTGAAGTGAGGGCCACTGGTCTGTAGTCATTGAGTTCAGCAGGACATTTTGTTTTTGGTACTGGCACAATGCAGGATGTTTTCCACAGAGCAGGTACCTGCCACAGCTGTAGACTCAGGTTGAAGATCCTGCGGAGAGGTTGACACAGTTCTGCAGCACAGTCTCTAAGCAGCCTTAGACACACACCATCTGGACCAGCTGCCTTCCCAGGACAAAGTCTTCCAAGCCCCATCCTCACCCGTGTTTCGGTGACAGACAAAGACTGGTGTTCTAGGAGGGAGGCAGTTGAAGTGGTTGAGACATTTGAACAAGATGGAGGAGGAACATGAGAAGTTGAAGTGGAGATTTGTTGAGGAGAGGAAGGTGGAGTTGCAGTGGAAGTGGGTGTGACAGCAGAATCAAATCTGTTAAACAGGTTGAGTTCATCAGCTCTTTCCAGATCACCCACCACTGGCTGTCTTTTCTTTTGACTGCTGTGTCCAGAGATGGTACTGATTCCTCTCCACACTTCATGGATGTTGCTGTGTTGAAGATTATTCTCTATCTTCTTTTTGTACTCCAGCTTTGCCATCTTCAGTCTCCTCTTCAACTCTTGTTGCACTTGTTTGAGTCATTCTTTGTCGTCATCTTTAAAAGCTTTCTTTTTCTGGTCAAGGATTGTTTTTATGTCACTTGTCATCCAGGGTTTGTTGTTGGGGAAACAGCGAACAGTCTTTGTAGCTATAACTGTGTCTCTACAGAAGTTGACATAATCAGTAAAGCAGTCAACCTGTTTATCAATGTTCATACTATCCACATCTGTTTCCAGCAGCACATTCCAGTCTGTTGATTTAAAACAGTCCCTAAGAGCTTCACTGGTTTGAGGTGTCCATCTTCTAATTTTGACTTTGGTCACAGGCTGCCTCAGCACACAAGATCTGTAACAGGTTTGCAGATAGACCAAGTTATGATCTGACTTGCCCAGTGGTGGTAAGGCAGTGGCTCTGTAGGCTTCTTTGACGTTGGCATACAGCAGATCCAGGGTTTTGTTTTCTCTGGTAGGACAGTTCACAAACTGTGTGAATCCAGTCAGGTGAGAGGAGAGGGTGACATGGTTTAAGTCTCCCGATATTATTATTAATGCCTCTGGGTGTTGAGTCTTTAGCCTGGCAACACTATTTTGCAAAACATCCCACAGAATTTCTTCAGTTCATTTGGGTGGAATGTAAACAACTACTGTTATGATATGACTAAAGTCTCTTGGAACATAATATGGCTGAAGAGCAACTGCCAACAGTTCAATATCTGGACAACACAACTTCTCCTTGACAGTTATGTGTGAAGGGTTACACCATCTCTGGTTGACAAATAAAGCCAGACAGCTCTACACAGTCCAGTTGCCTGTTTTAAGTCTTCAAGATAATAAAGCCATACCTCCTCCTTTCTTCTTGCTACTAACATGAGCATCTCTGTCTGACCTTATGAGAGTGAAGCCAGGTAGATCCACACTGGAGTCTGAGTTGGTTTAATTCAACCAGGTTTCAGTGAAACACAGGAAACTGCACTCACGGTATGCTTTCTCAGTCTTCACCAATATCTCCAGTTCATTGCGTTTGTTGGGCAGAGAGTTGACGTTTCCCATGATGACTGATGGAAGAAAGGGTTTATATTGCCACCTCCTAGCATTCAGCTTTGCCTTCACCTTTGCATCAGCACAACAACCACGATAAAACCTCATGATGTCCTCTGGAATTGTATGTTGTTGTCCAGATTTGCTTTTCCTCAATGAAAGGAGCTCTTCTCTTGAGTAAACTCTTCGTCCAACAAAACTATGAAAAAAAATCTGGCTAAAATTACAGATAATACTGAGAGACCAGACTTGCAGCAACCTCTCAGTTCAAGCGCATCATTTGAATATGATATGATTTATAGCCCTTAACACATTAATGCCCTCGTGTATCTCCACCCAAAACATGGCCTAAATGTGAGTACATCAGTGGCAAGCAGCAGCAAATGGGCAAGCAGGCACAAATCAAAATTTCCATGGAATTTTCTAGTTTCTATTGTTATTTCATTATGAAATGTGCTTGTTGTCAACTGTTGTCAAAGATAAGAGTATCTTTGCAGATAAATGAAAATGCTGTGTCCATCTGTGTGCTCTGAGGTACATCAGTGTAATTTGATTAAGTTAATCTCTCAACCATAGACTGTATAAAGAATGGACAGAGTCTGCCTCCTTGCTAGCCACTCCGAGAACAGCACCCTCTGTTGACGGGCTGCAGTATAGGTCATAAATCCCACCTCCGCCAGCAAAGCTTATGGGGCTGTAGACAAACTTTATAAATTTATTACATAGAACATGAATTTTTCTATATACAGTATATACAATCTATGCTCTCAATAGACAAGCACGACCAGACAGTAAAATGCAGTTTTCCAACTGGAAAACCATAGGCAATAAGTATTTAAATCAAGTTTAGCGTTGGTTCAAGCTTAGGTGACAGTAAATTAGCTAAACCTTACCATAGGCTGCATAATAACAGAAGAATTATCATCCAGTTATTCCTAAAGCACTTTTGAAGCTGAACAGCGGCTGTCCCCCATATTGGTAATGTTTATCTATGTGCCTACCTGTCAATCAAATCAGATGTGCCTCTTAATTGCCAAACTTGTAACAATAATTAATTCAGCTCAAGCTCAATATATATATATATATATATATATATATATATATATATATATATATACTACAGGCCAAAAGTTTGGAAGCAAGGCCATCACAGGCCAAACAGTTGGGAGTAACTTCGAGTTTTTGCTCGCAATGCTTTTTTCAGTCATGTCATTGCTGTTCCTGATGGCCTATTTTGTACTAAGGGATAAGTGTTCCTTACTCATGCCAAGAACTAGAGTTGAGGGCAATGAGTGCTCAGTGAATTTTTAGTTTATAATTCTCTATTTATTCAACACCTCCATTTTGGACCTGTTTAGACCTTGTTTGCTTCTGTGTATGACTTTAGTGGCATGGTTCTCCATTTAAGCTGCATAGCCTCCTCTCCTCTGCTGGTGCTTTCATGTAAGCAGATGGAGGCCTGGGAGATTTGCCTGTGTGGCTGTTTATCTGCTTTTTCTGCTGGTCTCCATACTGCCAAACAAATGTAAGTAATTTATTCTTGGGGGGGGGGGGGGGGGAGGTCCTAACTGAACTAGCTTATTTTGCCCCAATCTTTGACTGTGTTCTTTAGCACATGTGTAATGCACAGTTAACGGCCTGTATTTGTGATCATGGACCCTCAGCGATACGTGTAGGTGGATTTGATAGTGATCATTCATTTTACTTGAGTTAAATTTAAAGACGTTGGTGTACATTTTTCATGTTTACAATGGTACAGTAGAAATTGCAGATGATGCTTCGTGTAGGTGTCAAGGCAAAAGCTTTTGGTTTTAATTGTGCAAGTACATTTGCTGATCCAGCACAGTTCAAGGTTAGATCAATTTGCAAGTAAGGGGGATGTTTTTAGGTGTTCAGTTTAATGTTAACAACACAGATTCCACTTATTTGTTAGGCTAATCTAGAGATAGTGGGTAACTACTTTTTAAACACACTGAATATGAATAAAAGGGCGTGATTTTTTTTTTCTAGTCCACCTAATTCATTAAGCAGCCATTCCAGAGGACAATATCAAAGTAAATGCCACTATGTTATACATTTAGGTGCAAGATGGATCCTAAATATACTCCTGTTAGCAGTGAGGGCGATAATATAAATACCATGAACCTGGTTATAGGCATGTCACTGAAAGAAACCTGTAAAAAGAAAACACATCTGATAACTGACACACCAAAATTTCTGACACTAGTTTGCAGAGCAATAAAATGGACAGAGCACATCAAAAAATGAAGCCTCTGAGTCTAGTTTTTACTTAGGTGATTATTGTAGACTGTGTGAACCAAGACTTGTGCCATAGTAACCCTGATATTATATTTGGTTATCTATTTTAGTGCCCTTTGTTCTGGGTCCATGTATTATCCTTCCATTCAATTATTCCATTCAATCTAGTAAACGAAAAACGAAAAAACAAGTCAATATTTTATTTATTTGTTTTTCTGTATAACCAAAAAATAAAAAATTAGTCTTTGTTTTCGTATTTTCAGCTCAAACCAGAATATATAATAGAGAAGGAAACGGAAATGAAATAATAAATCTTATTTACAATTATTTATTTTCAGTGCGCCTGTTTTGAGCATACATGCATGGAGGCTACACTGGCTTTCCCATGATCCTCAGAGACAGTTACCATGGCTAAAGATGCGACAGAGCGGTTTGAGCGCCAAAATCTTACGTTGTAACAGAGCTCTGGTTGTAATTTTTTCAACAGTCATATCTTCCTCCTTCAGCGTGACCCTCCTGGCAGCTTTGAATAATACGTAGGATGCGTCCATCTCCATGACAGCAGGGTAGCCTTTCTCAACTGCTCTGGCCTGGAGTTTTTGGTCCGCGTTGTTGGCTGCTTTGTTGCACAATGCGCATGTGCAAACAGTAGAAAGGCACTGTGGGAAATGGGGGACATCAATAACCGGAAAACAAAAGTAGATTTTTTTATTTTGTTTTCGTTTCCATCTCTATTATATATTCTGTTTTGAACTGAAAATAAGAGAAAAAAAAAACACTAATCAATGATTTTTGGTTATACAGAAAAACAAATAAACAAAATATTGACTCAGATTTTCATTTTTCGTTTTCTAGATTGAATGGAATAATTGAATGGACAGATAATACACAAAACGTTTTAATTTGAATTTTGTACATCACCCAAATGTGACTGTTGTCGATAGACTCCAGATTTTGAATATGATTCTTTAGGTTTCAGCCATATTTCACAAATACATGAAGTTGAATTTGTTTTAAAGCTTTTAATTTTAACCATAACATGCCATACCATTTTCAAAAATATGTCTGACACCACAGTTCCTTGAAAAAAACACATTTTATTGCTGACTGCTTCAGGATAAAAGATCACTGGCACAAAAGGCTTAAGACTGTTTTCAAAGTTCCTGTATTTGAAAGTTAAGGGCGGGATGTCATCAAATAGGATAAATTGTCAGAAATCAAGACAGCTGTTCTCCTGTTTCCTTTTCCTTACTCCTTCACTCTTGTCTTTCAGGGTTTTGAATACGAGGATGTACCTGATAAGTGTTGTGGAAAGTGTGTCCAGAAGAGCTGCTTCCTCATTGCACCTGACAACAAAACACATATCATTGAGGTCAGTAATGCTGTTCTAAGCTTCAACACTCATTCTTTTGGAAAGCCACTGATCAGTTTTAGTAGTCTATTTAAATTAAAGGCTAAAATTTAAGACTTGCTTTTTTCCCCAAATGTTAGTTTGGAATTGCTTGAATACGGCAAATTTAAAAAAAAAAAGTGTCTGCCAAAAGCAAACTAAATCATCTTTGTCTCATTTGATTGTTTTAGGATTGGGTTATTTTCCTTTGGTGCAAATGAGGTTAAATTAAATCCAAGTCAGGATGGCATCTGAGCTAATAAAGTTTTTGTACTTAGCTTTTGCTTTCTGTTATTTTACAGGTCAATGAAACATTTACTCTTCCTGGTGAAAAGTGTGTGGAGTATGCCTGTGCCAATATCAATGGACAGCTCATCACTCAGGAGACCAAAACTGTTTGTCCTAAATTTGACCCCCTGGATTGTGAACCTGTGAGTAAATCAGACATCTGCATTTTATACACCTGACCTGTCTCAACACACCGCCCATATCTTACACATGTGTCTTCCTCCTCCAGGGTACAGAGACAACTGACTCTAGTGGATGCTGCAAAACCTGTAAGTTAGTAGAGGATTGTGCTGTGTGTCATTACCGGACCGTCTTTGAACCACTGACAAGAACAAATGTTCTGTTCTACAGGCAAGCTGCGCAGTGTGTGTGAGGTCCTCCATAAGCAACAAGTCATCAAAGTGAATGACTGCGTGAGCAAGAAGCCGGTCAACATGACGTACTGTGCTGGTCACTGTGGAAGTAGATCCATGTAAGTGTTTTAACAACCAGATATGAAGTCAATTTTGACCACTCAAAGATGCACTTTTAAATCCAGGATCATCTTTTTAAGTGTTGAAGTGAAGCTTCTGTAACAGCTTTATGTGCATTATTGTGCATTACACAAATACAGTGTTGGATGTGACCCAATTGGCAGACTGATACTTCTCCAAATATCATGCAACCTCTTATACAGCAGCCTCATCCTTTGTGTCAGTACAACTTCTAGTGAACACGACTTAAATAGATTTCTATTTTCAGTGACCCCTGAAAGGCATTTTTTTTATCAGTGCATGTTAAGGACTGTATGTCAGACTGTCCTGGGTAGCTTAGATTATCCAAAATTGATACTACAAAATTGAACCATCTGAACTAAATGAAATGAATGTTTAAAAGCTGGCTTGGGATCAACAGTTTACTCAGCAAGTTATTATTGATTTTGGTTCTTGATCAACACTTGCACTCCAATCTTCCCAAGAAGATTGAAAATGAAAAAAAATAAATAAATAGATGAATGAAGAGAGGTATCAACCTGCTATTTCAAGAAACAGTGTAGTGATTTACAGCAAATATTCATGGTCAATGTTGCAGTATGACTCATTAGCTTTGCTGAGGCCACAAAGCTGTAGAACTTCATGGGTATTAGACAATAAAGATTCAACACTACAGACGAAAATGTGATGTTTACTGCCGTGATTGGTGGTAAAACTGTTATTGGTGTGTGTTTGCAGGTATTCAGCTGCTGCTAACGGGATGATTCACGAGTGCCAGTGTTGCCAAGAAGCCACGACCAGTGAGAGCAAGGTGGAGCTTGACTGTGCAGATGACACCAAGGTTTATCACACCTACACCATAGTGGAGAGCTGTCACTGCCTCAGAGCAGAGTGTGTGGGAGGAACAACATATGTGCCGATAAAGCGCCGCAGAAGACGTTGATCACCCAATCACAGGTCAACACAGGACTAGACCTTATAAGACACAGCCCAAGACTAAACCTTAGACCTTTTTGTTCATTTTCTGCCTTTAATTTTTGGTGTCAAACTGGGTTCTTTTTCAGCATCATAACATAACACTGTGATGTAAACTTTCTTCTCTTCACCCATTAAAATAAGGTATCTGCAAGATAAACAGCTGTGTGGACATATTGTTTGGTCAAGTATGTATTGTTGCACATATTGAGTTGTGACAGTCTAATGTTATAGTAGCCAGAACATAAGTTGCATTTAATGTTGAGTTTGGTGTTTGTGTGATGTTGTGCATTGATTCACAATAAGTTAACAAAGCCATTTTTTGAGATGACATCTTCAGTCTGGTTTAAAGTGAACTTTGGTGTTTATTTGACCCCATATGTTTGTGTGTATTTGACTGATGGGGCAAACAGTTTATGAAATTGGTCCAGTTGTAAAACGAACTTAAAGGTAGTTTGACTGGGCAATTGAGCATGGCCAAACTGAGTCCACTACTCCACTACAGGCTCACATTGGTATTACATATCCTAAAACTAGAATGGCAAGGTCCCTTGCCTTCCACTTGACCCAGTCTGTGACTCTCACAGTGTCACTTATTCACGTCTTCCTGCAGCAAGTAAGATCTTGCAAGATGTCTTAACACCTCTCCACCAATGAGATTTGGTTGTACACAGACCATGGGCCTTATTTATAAATGCTGGGTACGTACAAAAGAAACACTACTTGCCACTTGTCAGCAATGTTTGGGATTTATAAAAAACAAACTTGACAATGTGCTCACTGTCACGACACTCTACCGTATGCACAAAATCTGGAGAAATGGGAAATTGCGACCCCACCAGTAGAAGGACAAAGGTAAAGTCAGCTATGTGAAATTGTATGTTTATTTATGTTTCATAATCAAATACTACACATTTTACAAAACATATCATAAATCAAGGATATATTTCCAAACACGAAGAAAGATGAAAAATGTATATTGATGCCCCAAGCAGACTGCGAGCAAACCTATGTGTGCTTCCACGAATACGTAGCCTGTGTTATTGAATCAGTTAAAGATGGGGTAGGTAGGATTCTGTTAAAGAAGCATCTTTTTTTGTGGTGTATATACAAAAAAGCTTTTAATATCACTCAATAGCTATTAGTTATTGATTACATTTGGTAATATCATGATATCGCTGTGTTTTGTTATGTCTGTGTAGTCAACATTTTACATTTTTAGAGCAGCCCACTCTTTCTGACTGTAAACAAAGCCATTATCCCCCTCCCCCAACCTGATTGGTTGTGAGGTGGACGCTGCTCCCTTATGTTGTGAGGCACGCTCCATGCCCTCCAATAATGTGCACGCTCCCAAACAAAGTTAGTGTGCAACAACATCGGACAGTAGAAACCAACCAGAAAGTACAGGAAACACAAGCAATGAAACAAAGTAAATACAGGAGACTGGTGGAATAACAGGCACTTAAAATGGACGTAGGCTGGACAAGAGCTAAAAAGCCGGGTCAACATCAGCATAAACGATGGGGGACACTTCGGGATCTTACGGACCCTGTAACCTCTCTGCTTGTCCTGCGTGAAGCTGGACCCCCACCCCACGCAAAATTTCGAAAAATATTCTAATTCGTTTGTGCTTTGTTTGTGTGTGTGTTTTTGTTTTTGTGGCGTTACATTTTTTGTTTGTGCTGCTTTGGTTTTAAAGTTACAGTATTACACGCTTTTTTTTTCAGCGATGACTTCACCCAGCCTCCCATTTGCTCCAAATGGACCCGAAATGGTGCCAATCATTTGTGCCGCTGTTGCTGAGAAGTATGCAATTCTCAGAAACGCGCACCACTTTAATAGAGTGGTCCAAGGAAATGTACAGTTTAAAACCCATACAGTTCTTACTTGTGGGGCTAAACAATGATCAGTAATGATCCGAAAATGAGGTATATATCTTTTGTGTCATTTATGTTGAATAGATGTTGAGATCAGACGTTTTATCAGCCCAAATGTTTCACTGGAGTGACTTTATTTCGATGATTGAAACACAAACCCCATAATGATGAATTATAATTATTATGATGACAAATTGAAATGTGCTTCTCAGGTGTTCTGTTGATCGAGCCCACAGATTTTAGCGTATATCATCACCGATAAGTAAACAAGCAACTAGAATCAAAGAGTTTCTTTAAGTTATAGTGTAGTCGGCAGATGCTTAATACTAACCTTATATCAGCTGTTTTTCTGTTTGCTGAAATATGCATCCACCCGTTAATAAGCTGTTGAGACAACAATAAGACACCAATATTACACCAGGAAAGTCCACCCATTCTTTGGGAAAGTCCCAAAGAATCAATCTTTATGGGTGGATGCATTTCTCTGCAATACTGATGCCTGTAATGTCTGTAAGTATTTGTTATTAGATTAAGTATAAGTGAAGCTGCAAACTTTTTTGTTTTGTTTTAACAATAACAAATTGTAAAAAAAAAAAAAAAAAAAAAAGCTACGATATGCCTTGAACTTATTCAGTCCACAAATATTGGTATTTAAGTCCTCATATGTTTCACATGCTCTCCCGTATGAGGATCTTTGAACATCTATGTGCAATGCAGCACTATTTGTCTGAAGCTGCCCTGAACGCATCACTCTGAGATGGTACAAGACTATCAACGTAGATATTATATCTCACGTTTGTTTCCCTTTCATTGAAGTGTTCATTTTGCAACAAACACTGCTTAAATACAGTTTACAGCTTAAACCTACCGAAATCATCCCAAATTGTAAAGTAAAAGTATCAATCCAGTGTCTGTGAGTCTCAGCAGAAACACAGAACAATCTTTGGTTGTCTGGAAACCTGGAAACTTTGGAAAATATCGTGATCCGATTCATGAACGTGGATCATGCAAACTACAGGAGATTCCCGGAAGAAATGACAATACGGGAGGTGGGCGAGTCCCAGGAAAAATAGGAGTGTTGGCAGGTATAAGTCGTGTTTTCACTATTGTACAGCGTCTCATCAGTTCTGCTCAGAGCCCGACTTAAGTGTGACAAAAAACAAATCAGTAGCCGCTAACATTAGCTACCGTTGTTATTTATAATTTTATAGCTATGCTTTGTGACACATCATGCTATCTGGACAAACATCTACCCATCCCGTGGCATGTAGCCTTCCAAATTTAAGTCGCCAAGGGAGTATTTTGCTTGCTGGAGCAAAGAGGGAGGGGAGAGGAGGAAAACTGGTTGGGAGGGGTTGTGTTTACATTTAAGACTTCCCAAAAACTGGCACTTCCCCAGATCCTGCCTACCCCACCTTTTAACCTATGATTAATCATTGTGAAACAAACCCTACAGGTTATTATGAAATCCATTCACATAAACAATTAGGCAGACAGTACCAGTTTTCCTAAAATGGGCCATAGAAATAAAGTTTTATATTAATAATTGGAGCCTTATCAAAATGATGTGATTGTTGCACAAAACTGCTGATCAATTAGGCTACAACACCTGTAGCTGTTCAGGAAATGAAATAAAGGTTTTATATTGAAAGGCACACACTCACATTGTGTAAAGATGCACAATGGCGTATCAGGCAACTCAGGGTGCTGATCTTTAGAGACCTGCAAGACCTATTGGCTCACAATGATGAGCGGTTCCAGCTGTTTTAACCTTAGCAGCAGTGCAACCTTCTGAGGCAGTGTTATTGACAACATCAGCACCATGCTTCCACTCATTTGGAAATCAAATTCATATAATGACAGAAAGCTGAGCCTGGTTGTCCATAGTATATAAAGTCTATGGTTTGAACATTAAATATCCTGTCTTTGTGGTGTATTTAGTCTAATATAAGTGGGAAAGGATTTAAAGATCATTGTATAATGCTAATGTAAGAATTCAACATTGGCTACATAACTGCAAATTTAATATGAAGTAAAAACAAAAATGTGCCTCTGTGCAACAGCTTTACAGCAAACTTTAACAAAAAAACAAAATTACAATCACAATGGGACAACTCTTTGCTTCAACAAAAATGTAAATGAAAAATGTAAACGATCTCTGATCAAAGACTGGATTTAGTCAAAGACACATTTTAGTCTTTAGTTTAACATAGTTTTAGTTGAAATGTAGTCAGTTTGTAGTCTTTATCTCATTTTTCGTATAATTTTAATCAGAAGTAATTTGACAGGTGCTTTATAGCCTACTGAACTAGATTTTACAGAAGGATATTTGTCATGGTTATAAAAATTCAATATTAGTCATGCCTTTAACTTTTTGTTTACTCATTAAAACTAAGAATGTAGTCTACCACATTGCTGTTGTAGTATAATAAAATGTTGAAAGCCTATCAGAAAAAGTCAAAGTTCTCGAGAGGCATAAAACTTGGATTAGCACGCACCACTAGCATCGTAGCTGTCTCGGTGGCGGTCAGCAACCTTATTAAACTCAAATCAATCATATCTTCAGAATTCTGACTTTAATCTCATAATAATAATAATAAAACAAACATTATATCAGATTTTTTTTCAGTGGCTCTAATCCTCTTCCATACCAAACAGTTGTGATGACGCAAGCAAAAACTTATAAGAGCCAACATGTCTGCCATGTGGACATATTTAAATGTATGTGAGAACTACAGATAGTGATTAGCAAAGCCTGTAATGCTGAAATTTTAATAAGGCGTGCATCTGCAAAGAGTTCCTCATGTCGGGTTTAATGTATTACCTGAATTCCAAACATCCTGATCACCATTCTGAGTGTCAGAAGAACGGGGCACAGAGCAGGACAATCCCTCCGAGCGAGCCCACTGTGGTGGATGTCGTAGCCAAATACACAAGCGGACGGTGGGGAAAGTTAAACTTCTTATCTTCTCATCTTTCCAGAGAAGATGGCCTTTAACTTGAAATGACATCCAGCAGTCAAATTGGTGCTTGGCTGATCATAAATGTCGCCACCCAACTAACACTAGGGGCTCTATTTTTGTGCCTCGCC